ATACCATAGTGTGACATTTTTATGTGGAGCAAGTCATGGTCAACTGTATCAAAAGCTTTACGTAAGTCAATGAAGATCCCCAGTGGGACTTCTTTTTTCTCTATTGCAGTGTATATATGTTCTAGCATGTGTATAATATCATCATTAATATTTTTATTAGGCCTGAACCCAAATTGGCAGGGGTTGAGTATGTTTTGGGAGATGAGGTAGGAATAGATTCGCTTATGAATTAATTTTTCAAAGATTTTAGAGAGAGGGTGTAAGTTGGATATTGGCCTATAGTTATTCAAGTCTGTTTGGTCTCCTCCTTTATGGATCGAGGTGACCCTTGCTATTTTGAGAACTGTAGGGAAGGTAGAGGATTCTATGGATTTGTTAAAGAGTGTTGCAATGATTGATGATAGTACTTGTGACGCTTTTTTGTATATAAAGGTGGTAAGGTGTTTAAATCTCCTGCCTTGTTTTTTAGTGTGTTGATAATAAGGGAGACTTCAGTAGGGTTAGTCGGAACTAGGAACAGTGTGTTCGAGTAGTTGCCAGGGAGGTAGTCATTGGGTGGGGTATCTGAGCTTGGGATTTTATTTGCAAGGTTTTTTCTCTATAGTGAAGAAATTATTGAGTCTGTTTGCTATTTCAGTTGGTGGGAGTTTGGGTTCATCTGATTTTGTTAATTCAATTTCGCTATTTCGTGATATCTTTTTTGTTCCTAGAATTTCTGATAGGGTTTTCCAGGTCTTTTTTATATCACCTCGTAAGTTGGATAATCTGTTCTCATAATACAGTTTTTTACCCCTTCTTATCAGGCTGGTTAGGATTGACAAGTAACATTTTGTTTGGTCTCTGGTTATGTGACCCATTCTGTACTGTTTTTTCGTATAGGTGCTTTGTATTTATGGATTTGAGGATGCTGGGTGTTAGCCAGGGATTGTTCAGTCTCTTAGCTGTCATCTGTTTAGTTTTTTTGGGGCAGTGCTTGTTGTAGAGGTATTGGGTCTTTTTTAGAAAATTATTAATACATTCGTCAATATCTGTATAGATTTCTAGCTCAGTGTGCCAATCAATGTTTGTCACTGCTGCTGTGAAGTTATTAATGGCTGCCTCATTGTGAAGTCTGAAAGTGACTTTAGTAGTGTCTTGGAGTAATTTCCCAAGATTTGTGATGAGGAAGGTAGGGTAGTTATCTGTGGTATTATCTATGATTATGCCTGATTTTAAAGGGGATATGGTGTTGGTCCAGATGTGGTCTAGTAGGGAAACACTAGTCTCTGTAACTCTTGTAGGTTTTGTTACTGTTGGTAGCAACATGCAGTTACTCATTGTGTTTGTGAATTCAGTAACGTGTGGGTCCTGGTCTTGCAGGAGATTTATACTGAAGTCACCAGAGAGTAGTAAGTGATCTTTGTTCATGCATGCATCAGTTATCATACTTCCTAGGTTTTCACTAAAACGGATGTTTGACTGTGGTACTCTGTAGATGTTTATCACTGTGAGAGGTATGTGGATATGATATTATTCAGACAGAATTAATATCACAAGTAGTAAAACATTGACATAACTGTTTTACTGATTCATGGAAGGACATAAAGAATAAAATTAATTGCAAGTGAGAAGTTTGTTGCCCCTCAATATGAGTCACTAGCAGATAGAAGGTGAACACTATATGGTACAAATGCAAATGAAAGTTATTTAGTAGTGCAATTAACTGTAGCATTTTCAGTGCTCCACTAGAGATAAATATGTATTAGCATTTAATCTCCAAAATAAAAGAAATCGCCATGGGGAAGTGAAAAAGAATTCTTCCTCCGTCAGCCATGTGTGCTGTAAGAGGCGACTAAAATGCGGGAGCAAGGGGCTAGTAACTCCTTCTCCTGTACGAGTTACTAAATTTAAAAAGAGAAGCTTTCGTTTTTCTTTTTAGGTCACCTTGCCTCTGTAGGATACGGCCGATTTGTTGGGGAAAAAAAAATCAGAGGAATCATATTACTAAGAGCATACTAAACTTTCAGTTAGTGTTACTGTGGAAGCATAAACCTGACATCACTAGATTTTAAGTTAGAAAACTTTCATCTAGTTTTATAATTCCCAAATATAGTTAACTAAGCCCCAAACTTGACTCTTATATGTATTAAAATACCACGACCACACCTACACATAAGTATTACTATGTATTACTGAAAAATACAACAAATGACAAAATTTAAATCACTTATTTATTTTATTTCAGCATGATGCAATGTTTGAACAGAGATGAGTGAAAATTTCAGCCTACAAAGCTGATAACCCTTCAAGCAAGGCAGGGCAAGACTTGGAAGATCTCAAGAGACATTTTTAAGACACTGAACAGATTATGATAAATAATATAATCTTCAACCATTTTTCAAGAAGTCTAATGTGACATATATGAACAAAAAGAGCTTCCAGGTTACCAAAGCACAGTTTATTTTAGACAATGGAAAATTCTTCTGCCATAGAGTAATAAACCTATGAAACAGCCTATCAAACATGGGTATGGAAGGCAAGAATGTACTACAGTACTGTTAAAAATTCACTGGAAATTAGGATATCTCAGTACAAGCTTGGAGGTTCCTGTTCAACTAGTACTGTTCAACTACTGATTGTAGTCAACATGTAAATACAGGTATACGTGTATGATCCTGTTCTAAACCCTTCTCATTACCTACATAGCAATTGTAGAATGACTAAAGAATTAAATTTTTGAAAAGATCTGGAATCCGTTTAAGAATAATTTGATTAGAGTCGGTAGCTTTTCAAGTGAGGTTCCTTGATGCTGGTGAGGGGCTCTTGATCCAAAGAATTTGACTTGACCCTCCCTTTCTTGGATAGTCTCTCACTGCCTTTCCTTTTCCCCAGCTGCTGTATTACTTCTATTGGTTTAGTGCTTTCCCATGAATGTAGTAAAGAGCAATAATGTTAGTCAGCTGCAATGGCCATCACTACCCACACATTAACCCCTTAACTGTCCAAACGTAGATCTACGTTGTTACTGCTAGTGCTCCAAATGTAGATCAACATTTTATTTCTCCTGCCTCCAAATTTGGCATGATTGGCCTGAGATGCCTGGTCAGCACAGAATGGGTCTTAACACTCTGTGTGCGCAGTACGTATTAAAAAAATCTGGGATCACTTAGTACCTTGTGGGAGCACCAGTTGAAGTGAGCTCCAGCGAGAGCAAACAGCACGACAAACACCAAGGATTCACTGATGTCATGTTGTAATAACACTCCCCTTTTAAGAGGAAAGTGATGCTGACCCTGAGTTTAGTGGCTTTGAGGTGGATGTGGTCACAAGTGGTCACAGAAATATCAAAAACCTCGATAATAACCCATGTGCAACATTTGTGTAACATCCTTTCAATTTTGGTACCACTAGCAGTGTCATCCTGCCAGAATGTCCTATAACCTATGCCCTAAGTAAAAAGAAAATTCTGGAACATGTAATACGTGTTCGGCAGGCTGGCTGGGTGACTGTCTCTATCTCCGTCTGTCTGTCTGTACCTATCTCTGTCTATCTATCTCTTTCTCTGTATCTCACAGGTACACAAATACAATTATACATAGTGTAAATTACCTAGGATAACCCAAAAAATCCAGCCAATGTGCTATGCCGTGCATGTAGATATAATGCATAATAAGCATGACTGGCAAGTAATACACATTTTCACTTGCTCAGGAATCAAACATGACGACTCTGCATTGTGTGTAATACCTGTTGGTTCACGAGTGGCTCTCTCTCTGAGACAGAAAGAGAGACAGAGACAAGCAGATTGAGAGACAAAAGCAGATAAGCAGAGAGAGGTAAACAGAGCTAGACAGTTGGACAGACAGACAGACAGACACACAGACAGACAGACATGTTTATGTATAACAGTGAAAACAAATAAAGCTAAGGCAGTGCACACTCATCAAATGTCACTCCACTGCTGCACTGTCAGCAGTGGAGTGACATTCACTGCTAGGATCTATAAACACTCTGTATATATTTCTAAACAATAATATGTGACTAAGGTAGGTGAAAATGTTCACCTGTCACTGTGTTTGTGACTATATTAGTGTCAGAACAAAGATGGGGTATGAAATCACAAGAACTACTACAAATTGTAATCATCAAAACATAAAAATTATATAAATTAAAAAAATGAGAAAAAAAGGTATATAGGCAACACTTCTGCAAGCAGCAGTGCTTCATGCTGCCGTCAGGTGAGCAACAAGCACCAACTTTGTGGTCTTATAAGTACTGACTCTTAATACTTTTTTATTTACATTACTTTATGTAAAAAAAAATGTCCTCTTTATTTTTTTAAACAAAAAAGATTTTTTTTTTTTCAAATTATTCGGAGTGCTGGGCGAGAGAACATGGGTCTATGTTTGGACAGTTAAGGGGTTAAACACTGATATGTCACAAGTTGTTTTCCCTCAGACCTAGAAGACAATTCATCTCAATAATCACATATCTCCTAGGTAGTAGGTTGGTAAACAGCAACCGCCCAGGGAGGTACTACCAACCTGCCAAGCGAGTGTAAAATGGAAGCCTGTAATTGTTTTACACGATGGTAGGATTGCTGGTGTCTTTTTTTTCTGTCTCATACACATGCAAGATTTCAGGTACGTCTTGCTACTTCTACTTACACTTAGGTCACACTACACATACATGTACAAGCATATATACACACACCCCTCTAGGTATTCTTCTATTTTCTTTCTTGTTCTTGTTCTTGTTTATTTCCTCTCATCTCCATGGGGAAGAGGAAGTGGAACAGAATTTTCTTCCGTAATAATCCATGTTGCGTGTTGCAAGAGGCGATTAAAATGCCAGGAGCAAGGGGCCAGTAACCCCTTCTCCTGTATATATTACTAAATGTAAAAGGAGAAACTTTCGTTTTTCCTTTTGGGCCACCCCGCCTCGGTGAGATACGGCTGGTGTGTTGAAAGAAAGAATCACATATCTGACCATGAATGATTTCTGTGGTAACAGACACTAACCTTGTGCTCCTCAGTGCTCTAAGAGCAAGGTTGTGATGATGGAGGTGTGAAAGAAGCTCATGTAGACCTTCAACTTTCCACACAGCTGAAAATGTTTTAACACACAGCCGTGCTCTCTGCCAGAACTACGAGTGATAAATAATTTTACTCTTAGTTATTATATACTGTAATATTTTTCATACTCTATAATGCAGCACTAAAAAAACAGCTCATATTGCCTACTAAAGTGACAGTAAGTTTATCCACTATGAGGTGATACCATTCATAAACAGAGTAAATAGTGAATATAATATGTTAAAATATATTCTTACATTAGTTATTCATAAACAGAATGTAACCAGAGAATATAATATGCTAAATATATTCTTACATTAGTTATCTCTTTAATCTGATTATTCAACAGACTTTCTCGAACAGCACTAGCAACAGTAGCAGCAACGAGCAGCGGGTGACGTGACAGCCGCAGCTCCAGTACATCCCACACACTCACACCACTAACAGCAGAGGCAGAGGCCCATTTATTGCCACAGCCTATAAGAAAGTACAAGACCCTTTATATAATACATCTCTATTTGCAATAGGATTAAGAATGCCAATTTTGTGATTTTTATTTAGCACAATGGCTGTTTCCTGCCTGGGTAGGTTTCCCCAAAGAAGGAAATGCATTCACCATCATCCATTCAGTTGCTGTCTTGCCAGAAGTGTGCTGACATCACAATTCATATGGTACAGTCAGAGGGTAATAAGAACTGTGATGCAAGAACACTTCTGGCAAGACAGTGATTGAATGAATGATGGAGAATGTACGTATTTCCTTTTCTGGGTCACTCTGCCGTGGCAGGAGACAACCTCTGAGGTAAGAAAGAAAACAAAAATTTATTGTTTACAGACCTAAAAGTAATCCATTGGGAGTCAAATGCAAATTAGGGAATCTGTATTAGGCAAATATAACTCGATTAAACAGTATCAGTATGAAGTGAGGGGGTTGATCTGGAATGACCTGCCCACCATAGACCACAAGGTTGCCTGTACTGCTCATGTGTACTTACTGGGATAATATGCAAGATTAAAAATGATTTAGCACGACTTTACTTATACAGAGGCAATGAAGACAAGACACCACAAGCAGTCCCTTGTAAAAATAGGTCTTAGGCATGGGGCATGGGGCATGGGATGTCACCATGGCTGTAGTATCAGTGCCCCTCTGGTAAGACAGTGATAGTGAGTGATGGTGAAAAAGTTTCTTCTTTTTTAGGTCACCCTACCTCAGTGGGAGGTGGCCGGTGTGTTAAAAAATAAAAATGGGACTGTAAAAAAGGTGAATGTTAGTGTGTTGAAGAGAGGTGTGGGATTAAAAGATAAGGAACTGAATACAAATTGGGAGTTGCCACAGTTGCTTTTTGCCAAAGAAATGATGGTTTTGGGAGATTCTGAAGAAAAGTTACAAACACTGAGAGAAAAATTTAGGAGGGTAAGTAAAGAAGGAAATTAAAAGTGAAAGACTGCATATCAGAATGGAAGAAGGGAGTATGAAGTGAATCCAATCAGATATTTGGAAGTGGGCTTGTCAGCAGACAGATCTATTAAAGATGAGGTGAACTATAGAATTGACAAGAAAAAAAAGGAGTGGGGTATAGAGGCATTTGTGGAGACAAAGAACCTTATCCATGGAGGCAAAAAATTGGAACTGTACGAGTATAGTGGCACCAACATTCTTATATGAGTGTAAAGCATGGGTTGTGAATGCTGTAGTGAGGAAGAGGCTGGAGGCAGCAGAGATGTCATATGTGAGGGCAATGTGTGGTGAATATTATGCAGAAAATTTGTAGTTTAGAGATTAAAAGGAAATGTGGGGATGCTTAAAGTATTATCCAGAGAGCTGAGGAAGGGTTGTTAAGATGGTTTGGATTTAGAGAGAATGGAGAATAAATTGGGAGGGGAGGGAAGAGGGGTAGGTGGGTCATCCAAAGAAAAAGTTGGCAGGAATGAGCAAAGGAAAACTTGTGTGCGAGGGGCTTGGACATCCACCTGGCATGTGTGAGCATGTTTGATAAAATGAGAGGAATGCAAGTGGTTTTTATGACTTGAAGTGCTATTGGAGTCCAAGAAGGTAACATTTATGAACAAATTCAGGGAAACCAGTGAGCCAGACTTAAGTTCTGGAGGTTCCTCTGTCAAGACAGCGATGGACTGAGTGATGGCGAGTGTATTTCTTATTTTCCAGGCCACCCTACCTCAGTTTGAGACAGCCAATGTGTTAAAAAAAATCTAGCTCATGAAAATACAGTATATTTTTAATGTGTTTATAGCTTATAAGACTTCATTCCAGCTCTTCTATTAGCCTCAGGGGGTCACAAATCATAAGGCAACTCTGTCTGAGATTAGGTAATTGTACCACAAACAAACAACTAACCTGCAACAGCAACAAGGTGTTGCCAGTGTCTTGTTTGTACTGCTGGTTGTCTGAGCACAGCAATCACTTCAAGACTATTAATATGATCTTCTAAGCGTTGCTGCAAAGATTTGCCAACATGTGTTTCCTGTGCGCCTGTACATTCACACAGGGCTCTCTGTACTCCTTCAATTTGGCTCCTAAGGTCATCTAGTTTAGCTGTACTCCATCTCATTGTACGCCATGTCATCTCTATGCTCTAATAATTACAAGATATAACGTTAATAAACAAGCAAATGATTATCTTTTTATTAAATCTAGTACATACAAAATTAAATGTTGAATTATAATGACCATTTAAATTCTCACTACTGCTACTACTACAACCTGTATAATAGGGTACAAGTGATACTTTAAAAAAAAGTCTTAAGAAGTTAAGAAAAACAAATATGGACAAAAACATTTAACAGCCTCATCCATGGAAACAGGAGATGGACTGTAAAGTTAATATATTTCAACAATTTGGTGTCTCTAAATACACTCACAGTATTTCCTGAAAATTATATAAAAAAACTACTCATATTTATGTTCTTTAACTACTTACTCTTAGTTGCTGGTAGATATTAAAAACATCTTTCAACTGGTTCAAAACGAGAATGGCATTGTCAAGTCCTGGATACTGTGTTGCTGCCAAGTCAAATATGTCTTCCTCCTCATCCAGTTCTTGTCGTTGTTTAAGAAACACTAACACTTCATCAGAGTACTCCTAAAATGATGAGAACACTTTTTTTTTAACACAATGGGGATCTCCCACCGAAGTAGGGTGACTTAAAAGAGAGGAAACACATTCACTGTCATTCATTCAACTGCTGTCTTTCCAGAAATCTGCTGATGTCACATTTTAGATGATCCATCGAACTGCAACATCCCCATCCCCACCTTCAGGGTGCAGACATTGTACTTTACACCTAAAAGACACAAGTTCAGCTAACTCTTTTCACTGAATCCCTTCATAACTTTTACCTTGCTCGCATTCCAACAGCACTTGCCTATGAAAAGCCTTTGTGTCTCAGTAACAGCCTGGTTGATCAGACCCTGATCTACCATGAGGCCTGATCTCAGACCGAGCCATGGGGGCGTTGACCCCCGAAACCCCCTCCAGGTATACTCCAGGTATACAAATAAACATAATACAAATGCATCTGTATTATAAACAATCATCATCAATAATAAACACTATTGTATTACAAGCTATCAACCCAAGTACCTTTAATACAGTGTAGTATATGTTTAAAATACTGTGACAATTACCATTACCCTTCTCACATCATTATTGTTATTTTCTTCTTTAACGTGTTGGCCGTCTCCCACCAAGATAGGGTGACTCAAAAGAGAAACACTTTCACCATCATTCACACTATCACTGTCTTGCCAGAGGTGAGCCAGTGATAGTGTGCAGACATTGCACTTCCCACCTCCGGCTCAAGTCCCGTAATTATATTTATGTTACCTGTACCTAAAAAAACTTACTCACGGTCTTTTTTAAATGGTAAATTAGGTAATATACACTTTTTCATTAATCCCCATATTTTTTTTTAAAAAATTATATAATAAACATGAAATAACATAAAAAGATGTAAATCCCCCCACAATAGAAAAAAATAAAAAAATATAAGATGGGGGGCCCACATAATTTGTAAAAGTGACGCCAAGAAAAACATTTTCTCTAATCTAACAAAAGAGAAAATTGTTACTGGGGGAAAACTGTAGAAATTATTTTTTGTTTTAAAGAAAGAAGTTTTTTCGGGTATAAAAAATACATTACATAGATTTCTACATAAAAACATACTGTAGAAAACCCTGGAAAACCCCAAAAAAGTCAGTGTAAACCTTTTTCCTTTCCCTTCACTCGAGCTTCATTTTTCTCAAATGATGTTAATGGAATGGGGTGTTCTTCTTTATTAATCCTGATCAATGTAGAGACAACTGTACAAATGTAATTTGACACAAACCAGAGGTAATTTCGTTTGTTTACAAAACTTATTTTCGCTGGTTTGTTTACAAATGCGCCTGCCCCTCTCATGTATTCTTTCTTTCTCTCTTCATTTTTTCGTTTTATCTCATTTACTTACCCGACCCTAAATTAAGACTACAAATATTTTAAGTAAGTAATGAGTGAATGTTTTCTTTTAGGGCTTGGGAGGTTAAATATTAGAATAGTATGTGGGGTGGGGTGGGGGTGGGCTATTAAATACATACCCATTGATTTTACAAAAATATACTTGTTATAGATTAAAAATATAAATTTTTTTAAGGGTAAGTAATGAGTGACTATTGTGTATTGTACTTTTTTATTGTTTTTTGATCCCCGGGTTCTATTGCTAACTTAATATTTTGTGAAACTTGTTATCTAGTGTTTATGCTTTTTTAAGTGGGGGAAAAAAAGGGGGGTTCCCCTTTTTGGCGGTTTCCCCCTTTACGGCGTGCCTGGAACCTAACCCCCCGTATAAGTGGGCCTTCCTGTATGTTTCATGTCAAAATTTAATCATAAAAAAGTGTTTTTTATTTTTTTAAAAAGAATTTCTTCTAATAATAAATTTATTATTTAAGAAAATCAGGTTGGGGGGGTTTTAAAGTATTATTCAAGGGTGAGGAGAGGGTTTTACAGGGGAAATTTGGAATTTAGAGAAGATAGAGCAAAATAGGGTGAAAGGATGTATAATCTAAGAGGAATGAAGAAAGGATAGGGGTCATCCAGAAAAGGTTGGGAAATGGGGTAAAGGGATATGAGTGCCCGGGACTTGGTTAGCCAGACTTGAGTCCCGGGGGGGGGGAAGTCACTGCCTGACCTCTGAAGGGAAAGGGAAAGGGAAAGTTGCTGTTTTGGGGGAACATAATTTTGCATCTGAAAGACAGTGATTAAAAGAATAACTATAAAGTGTTTTTTTTCTTTGGGCCCCCTCACCTCATGAGAGGAGGTGTTTTTAAGGTTTTACCAAAATTTTTATGAAAAAAATAAAAAAATGAAATAATAAAAACTCGAATTTTTGCTAAAAACAGATCTAAATTAAACAAGAAATATTAAGGAAGATTTCCTAGAAGACTCAACCTTAAAACAAGAATAATACTATATACAGTATATGAATTGCAAATATTAGGGGTTATAATGAAACACAATAAAAAATCTGCAGCTCACTACCCACTCTTCAACTCTGAGGATTACTAAACTTACCTTCAATAGTTCAACACCTTTATCCAAGTTATCACCAACAGCACCTGGACCTTGGGTCACAAACTTGTCATGAAAATGCTTCACAGTTTCCCTGAACTCTGCCACCTTCTTCTTGGTGTTACTGAGGAAGAATGCTTGTACAGGTTGAACATTCTTCTGCACAGTAATGGCACTGTGATGGAGCACTTCAAGTTGCTCTGCAGTATTCTCCAACCCCTCATGATCACTTTCTAAAACCTAGGCAAAAAGAATGATAAGTTCTATTATGTTAATTTAGTAATTGATGTTGCTAAGTTACTTTTGTGCAGAAATGAGCAGTTAGGGAAGTTAAGATTGTTTGGCAGACTAACTAAAAAAAATCATGACATACACTGCCTCTTTCCTACCAAGTCAAAGTAACCCAGAGAAGGAAAATATTCACCATCACTTATTCCCTAGCTTTCTTTCCAAAAGTACAAGCACTTCACAATTTAAATGATCCACTGATCTATAGCATCCTCAGCCAGCAGTAACAGCCTGGTCGATCAGACCTTGATCCACCATGAGGCCTGGTCTCAGACCGAGCCGCAGGGTCGTTGAACCCCGAAACCCTCTCCAGGTAAACTCCAGGTAATTCCCTACCCATTCTCAAGAAGGAAGGCACTGTACTTCCCTTCAGACCACAAATCCAGCTAACCAGTTTTTCTGAATCCTTTCATAGATGTTACCATGTTCAAACTGCAACATATCAAATCCCAAAGCACGCTTGTCTTTGCTCACTCTGATTTAACACATTCCCATACGCCTTTCTCTAAAACCCTGCTTCACAGGAGCTATTCCTCAGACTACAGTAATTGTACCTAATTCCCCTAACTATATAATTTCATTAAATTTTCATGAGCTTTTATGTGATATGTCTATTCTATAACTAGCTTAACCCTTTCAGTGGCTGTCACAAAGAACTATGTCATTGAGGCCAGGGTCTCTCACGTAGTCCTACGTCAAGAGTTCAGCTCACCCAGATAAGCTGTAAGTGGTAAGCTTTGGTCTAGATATGAGAGAATGGGTCTGTGACGTGAGTACACAGTATAAGACAATTCTGCCCCATGTGGTGCATGATGGGTAAAGAAAAACTCTGACCTTATGTTTGGTTTAACATTAGTTTAATCATAGGTCTACCCAAAATGCACTGCATAACTATGGGATTTTCCAAGTATTTTATAACATACAGTAAAATGCAATACTATGTAGTATCACGGAAAATAAACTTTATTTTATTAAGACACTCTACACCTCCATCCATCTACCCTAGAATTACACCCTCTTGGTAATGCTGTCTTGCTCCATTCTTTCTAAATCATACCATCTTAACAACCCCTCCTCTGCCCTCTCTATTATACCTTTCATATCACCACACAGTCCATTAATTATTCCCTTTTTATTCTGTGCATATTTACACCACACACTGCAATGCCTCCAGGCTCCTTCCCTCTGCAACATCCAAAGGCTATAACTCACACATAAAAAAGTGTTAGTGCCACTATCCTCTGATACATTCACCATTTTCATTCTCTCTCAGGCTTGTACCATTCCCAACACCAGCAGTAACTTCATTTACAGTCTCATCTATAAGCATTAACCACGTGGAGATTAGTCAATCATCTAACTGAAACATCAGTGAAATTATATATAGAAAGACATAAGAAGTGGGCACTGGTGAATGTGGTTTCCTTCTTTAAGTGACCTTAACTTGGTGAGAAATGGATGATGTGTTAAAAAATATTAAAATAACTGAGCATTGCATAAATCTAGCACAGGAACAAAATTATAATGAAATGTAAAATTACATAATTCATCATTAAATAAAATATTCTTACTTCAATGCCATAAACATGAAGGGTATGAAACATCTGACGAACATCAAGCAAAGAAGTGTGGAGATTTGCATGCTCTGAGCTGACTCGTCCCACTGCCCGCATTACCACTGTCAGTGATGAAAGGTCATCAGGACTCTGGTGAAGTGCAGCATTCACTTCCTGATGATAATGATCATAAAATATAATCGAAATACGTAATCTACAATAACATAAGTACATTTGTTTCTTTTATGTCTAGAACTAACATCTGTCAAGTATTACTTGCAGAATGATATACAGTAGTCCCTCCAAATTTGCAGGGGCTACGTTCCAAGACCACCCACAAATTTGGAAAAACCATGAATTCTGGACGCAGTTAAAAAATGCCTATAAATGCCTATTTTTATAGTTTAAACCCTATGCCCCAAAACACTTTAATTTAATTTCAAACTCAGTTTCATACATCACCCTTAAAAAAAAAAAAGAATGTAAAGATAAACTCGTATACAGTACTGTACTGCTATGTCTCCCACAGTGCTAGAATGTAAAATACCGATGTTACCCCCTCATATATACTGTAATTCATGCAAGCCCATTTTCTTTGTTATACTGTGATAAATGCAACCCCATTTTCTTTTGTATACGTACAGTAAATATACGGTAATAATTTAATTTAGTAAAAGTTAAATGTATGGGTACTCGCCAACATATGGAAATTTTGCTGAATTTACATTAATATTTATGTAAAGGAGGTTTTGTGGGCAAGGGGCTTGGACTTCCAGCAAGCGTGCGTGAGCGTGTCAGATAGGAGTGAATGGAGACGAATGGTACTTGGGACCTGACGATCTGTTGGAGTGTGAGCAGGGTAATATTTAGTGAAGGGATTCAGGGAAATATAGGTAGTAGGTTGGTAGACAGCAACCGCCCAGGGAGGTACTACCGTCCTGCCAAGTGAGTGTAAAACGAAAGCCTGTAATTGTTTTACATGATGGTAGGATTGCTGGTGTCCTTTTTTCTGTCTCATGAACATGCAAGATTTCAGGTACGTCTTGCTACTTCTACTTACACTTAGGTCACACTACACATACATGTACAAGCACATATATACACACCCCTCTGGGTTTTCTTCTATTTTCTTTCTAGTTCTTATTCTTGTTTATTTCCTCTTATCTCCATGGGGAAGTGGAACAGAATTCTTCCTCCGTAAGCCATGCGTGTTGTAAGAGGCGACTAAAATGCCGGGAGCAAGGGGCTAGTAACCTCTTCTCCTGTATATATTACTAAATGTAAAAGGAGAAACTTTCGTTTTTCCTTTTGGGCCACCCCGCCTCGGTGGGATACGGCCGGTGTGTTGAATGAAAGAAAGAAAGAATTCAGGGAAACCGGTTATTTTCATATAGTCGGACTTGAGTCCTGGAAATGGGAAGTACAATGCCTGCACTTTAAAGGAGGGGTTTGGGATATTGGCAGTTTGGAGGGATATGTTGTGTATCTTTATACGTATATGCTTCTAAACTGTTGTATTCTGAGCACCTCTGCAAAAACAGTGATTATGTGTGAGTGTGGTGAAAGTGTTGAATGATGATCAAAGCATTTTCTTTTTGGGGATTTTCTTTCTTTTTTGGGTCACCCTGCCTCGGTGGGAGACGGCCGACTTGTTGAAAAAAAAAAAAATTATGTTACAAAATTAATTATATTTTTCTTAACATTCAGCGTTAAAACATATGAAAAAATTATATATTGCCATGAAGAAAGCCAAAAAAAAAAAATTCCGCGAATTTGCAGGGATTTCCACAAACAATTACTAGTTTGGTTCTAAGAAAAAATCCGCGAATTACTGAAGCCACAAATTCGGAACTGTGAATTTGCAGGGGTCCACTGTATAACAAAGTATAAGTGCACATTAGAAGAATAATGAACACATCATACTATACTATCTCATTCTCAAACAACAGGTTCAAGTATACTTTATAATTGACAGTGAAGGTGAATGTTTTCATGGTTAATCAAACCCTATACAGTAAAACAAAAGGAGGAAAGTCATAGTACTCTAGCACTGTGATAAGAGACTCATAACCTATGTAGCAGAACAATTAAATAAATAAACTGCTGTAAGAAATATGTTCAGCCCATATGTAAATGCTTGGTGAAACTTACGGTGACTTGGTGTAGAACATACTGAAGACGAGAACGTGCCTCCTGCAGTAGCCCACTACCAAGCAATTTCACCCAATCAGCAGCATGATGAACTATCTGACTCACTAGTACATGAACATCCAAACTACAACAGATAAAAATGTTTACTCATTCATATATCACATACTTATGTTGTTTTATTTTTTTCTACAACTGTAAAGTAGGAAAACACATGATAAGTCTTTTTTAAATGCCTTGGCCACTGAAAGTTCTCCCCAAAAATTGTATACATGATTCCCCAGCAATAAGACACATTTCTTATCCTACTACTTACACAGGGGTACATGGGGTACCTAGTTTCATCCTTAATATATCTTCAAATAGAATTTTAAGTTAAATTACTCAATACCTTCAATAAAGTATAAACTAAGTATATTTTTATTCTAATGTATTGTGTCTCAATGTCTGGTAATTATATGTCAGTTTTAAGGCTGCCTGAAATGCCTTGCATTTCAGCCTTAGATTTAGATTTAGATTTCTTTATTTTCACAAATTACATGGTTGTACAGACGAATAGTATAATAGTTGGGTGTACATGCCAAAAGCCCCTCTGTATGCTGAGCATTTCGGGCAAACTTAAAGATTAACTTAAGAATAGTAAGGAATAATACAGAAATTACAGTAAACAATTTACAATATGAAGTACAATTGAGTATTTGAAACAATGAAATTTTAACATTTCAATATTGAAGCATTATAGTTGTACAAATTTGTCACAGAGAGGTTAAGAGAGTGGTGAAGAAATGTAAAAAGAAGCAAATAAGAGTGGGTGAGATGTTACAAAAAAATTTTTGGGTTGAAAATAAAAAAAATTTTTTGGAGTGAGATTAAAAAGAAAAAGGGAAGCCTAGGAACAAATGGTTTTGTCAGTTAAAAATAGAGGGGAGAGTTATTAAATGGAGATTAGAGGTTTGGGAAGATGGGGGGGAATTTTTTGAGGAATTTTAAATTTGATGAAGATAAACGTGTTTTCGGTTAGGGCAAGGAGGAATAACATCTTTAGGATGAGGAAGAGCGTTGTGAGTGTGGGAGAAGTTCGTGAGGCAGAGTAAAATGAAAGGGGAAAGGCAGCCGGGATTGATGGGAAAAAGATAAAATGTTAAAAGCAGGGGGGGAATATTTTGGAGTGGTTGGTGCAATTTTTTAAAAAAAATTTTATGGAAGAGGAAAAAGGGTACCTGGGGATTGGAGAGAGCATGCATAGTTTTTTTTGTAAAAAGGGCAAAGGGACAAAAGAGAGTGCAAAAATTTAGGGGGATAAGTCTTTGAGTATACCGGGAAAGTGAAGGGAGAGTTATTTTTGGGAAAGAATTAAGAGAAAGACGAGAATGGGATACAATGAACAAGGAGGCTTTAGGAAAGGTAGGGGGTGTGGGGACCAGGTGTTTAGAGTAAAACAATAAGTAAACTATTTAGATAAGCAAAAAGGGGTCTTTGTGGCATTCAGGATTTGGAAAAGGCTATGACGGGTGGAAGGGGGAAATGTGGCAGATGTGCGGGTGTATGGTGTAGGGGGTGGGTTTACTGAAAGCAGTAAAGAGTTTTTACGAGGAATAGTGGGTTTAAAGTTAGAGTATGTGGAAAGGGGGAAATTATTTCCCATAAAAGTAGGTCTTAGACAAGGATGTGTAATGTCACCGGGTTTTTTTAAAAATTTTTATAGATGGGTTGAAAGGATTAAATGCGAGGGCTTGGCAAGAGGCATGGAGTTAAAAGATAAAGAATCACACAAAATGGGATTGTCACAGTTGCTCTTTGGATGACACTGGCTCTTGGGAGATTCTAAAGAAAAGTTGCAAGATTGGTGGATGATTTTGGTAGGGTGCAAAAGAAGAAAATTAAAGTGAATACAGAAAGAGAAAGGGGTTTATGAGGATAACAAAAAGATTAGGTGATGAAAGTTTGGGAATCAATTGGGGGGAGAGAGTGGGGAGGAGGTGAATGTATTCAATATTTGGGATGGACGTTCAGCGGAGGTCTATGAAAGATGAGGTGAATCATAAAATTTGATGGGGGGAAAAGGGTGAGGGTGCATTAGGAGTCTTGGAGAAAAAGAATTTTTTCCTTGGGGGCAAAGGGGGGAATGTAGAGAGTATATTTTTCCCAAACGCTTTTAAGGGGGTGTAAAGAGGGGTATGAAGTTGCAGTGGGGGAGAAGGCTGGGGGCAGTGGGATGCATGTCTGGGGGCAATGTGTGGGGGTAATATAAGCAAGAATGCAATTTTTGGGAATTAGGGAGGTGCGGGATTACCAAAAAAGTTGTCCCCAGGGCTGAGGAAGGGTTTTTTGAGGGGGTTCGGACTTAGAGAGAATGGAAACGAAACAAGGACTTTAAGGTATCAGTCTGAGTGGAAGGAAGGCGGGTAGGGGTCGGCCCAGGAAAGGTTGGGGGAGGGGGGAAAGAGGTTTTTTGGGGCAGGGGCTTGGACTTTCCAGGGCAGCTGAGCTGTTATAGGAGTGAATGGAACAAATAGTTTTTTTAAACTTGAGTGCTGTTGGATGTGACAAAAATAACAATTATGAAGGGGTTAGGGAAACCGGCAGGCCAACTTGAGTCCTGGAGATGGGAAGACAGTGCCTGCACCTGAAGGAGGGGGTTAATGTTTCAGTTTAAAACTGTAGTGTAAAACCCCTTCTGGCAAGACAGTATGGGGTGAATGATGGGGAAAGTTTTTCTTTTTTTGGGCCCCCCTGCCTTGGTGGGAACGGCCTGTGATAATAATAAATAAAAAAAAATTTAGATAGGTTTTCTAAGTCTTTTTTATACACCTCTGAGATTTGAATCTGTTTTCATAATACAATTGTTGACCCTTTTTTAGGCTGGTAAGGGGTGACTTTTAAATTTAACTGGGCTTATCATTTACCCCTGAAGGAATGTGGGGGTGAAAGTACATGCCTGCACTATGAAGGAAGGGTGGGGGTGGAATACAGTGCCTGCATTATGAAGGAACAGTGGGGGTGGGGAAGTACAGTGCCTACACTGTGAAGGAAGGGTGGTGGTGGGAAGTATGGTGCCGCACTCTGAAGGAAGGGGGGTGGTGGGGGAATACAGTGCCCCACACTTAAAGGGAAAGGGGGGCAGTGGAAAGTACGTGCCTACACTTAAAGGAAAGGGGGGGTGGTGGGGAAATACAGGCCTGCACTCTGAAGGGCTTGGGGGTGTTTTGTTTCAGTCGTACCTTACACGCCGTGGGGTTTCTTGCTGTGAAGCTTTTAAAAGTTCTGAGCAAGATGAGTGTAGAACCTAGCTTTTCATCTATTCCTTTACTGATGGCCCACTCCTGCAGAAACTTACACGTACCAGCCTTGTCACACGCCCAAAAATGTTCATATGATACCAACGCAGCAAGATAAACAAAAAGTTGTAAACAACAAAATTTATCACCTAAGTCAAACATTTAAATTTCGCATAGATACAATTTAAAATTATAAGAGTGAAAAAAATTTTCCCAAAAGCTTTATCTTATTCATATAAATATTTTAAAAGTATGAGGTTTTTAATTATGAACATGGCCACCTGCAGGGCAGAGTTGTCCACTACTAATACCCGAGTGTATTTATAACAACACTCTTGACTCTGTTCATGCATGTTAGTGGCTTTCTTTGTGTTTAACAATATATTATTACATGTAAACTACACTGAAGGAGGGGGTGTTAATGCTGCAGTTTTATAACTGTAGTGTAAGCATGCCTCTGGCAAGACAGTGATGGAGTGAATGATGATGATGAAAGTTTTTCTTTTTCGGGCCACCCTCTCTTGGTGTGAAATGCCGATGTGCTAATAAAAAAACTACACATTGTATATTACGCATAGAAACAAATTTTGATTTCTATTTTGGTTTTGACTAGCATAAACCAAGTGAGCTAGTAAGATATTTAGCAAAATAATACAGCATATAATAATTTTTTAACACAGCAGCCATTTCCCACTAAGGAAGAGTGACCTAGAAAAGTAAATATAAACCATTACTCATTCAACATCTGTCTGCAAGGATGTCATAATTTAAATGACCCTCTGAGCTGCAACTTCCTTACATCTCCTTAAGAGTGCAGACACTGTATTTCCCCACTTTCAGGACTCAAGTCTGGCTAACCAGTTTTCCTGAAGATCTTCACAACTTTTTCCTTGCTCACATTCTAAGAGCATATAAAATCTTAAAATATACTGCAAAAATTAATGCAAAAAAAACAAAAATTTTTTTTTTTTTTTTTTTTTTTTTCAACAAGTCGGCCGTCTCCCACCGAGGCAGGGTGACCCAAAAAAGAAAGAAAATCCCCAAAAAGAAAATACTTTCATCATCATTCAACACTTTCACCACACTCGCACATTATCACTGTTTTTGCAGAGGTGCTCAGAATACAACAGTCTAGAAGCATACACATATAAAGATACACAACATATCCCTCCAAACTGCCAATATATCACATTTAATTTGTGGCAGACTTACCTCTGTAGATCAATATCCAACTCACGTATAACTTTTGCAAAAGTTGCTTGTACATTCTCAATAGCAGCATGCAACCGTGAATCACTAGACACCTGGCAACAAACAAGAATTTGTTGAATTGGTGAATGTTTAAACTATATGAAATATAAACCAATGTTTAACTAATACTATGGTAGTTAGTGTATTCCAAAAAGTTCCTAATATCATAAAGTTATTAAAATGATCTTTTATGATTTACGTAAATTTTCCATTAGTATATTACAATAAAATCTATGTACTTATATAATAAGGGTTCTTATAACACAAATTCATATAACCCTAATTCTACTGAGGGGTCAGTGTGAGCACTGTGCAAGGATGTCACTGGATCAAAATAAAAACCAGCTACCTGAAGTCTACCTCGAGGGTGTTTCAGAGGTCAATGCCCCCATGGCCCAGTCCTTGACCAGGCCTCCCAGTGAATCAGGGCCCAATCAACCAGGCTGTTACTGCTGGCCAGATGTACTCCAACATACAAACCACAAATCAGCTGATCAGGTACTGACTTTAGGTATCTGTCCAGTTCCCTCTTAAAGGCAGCCAGGGGTTTACCTGATGTTTACCTGGAGAGGGTTTTGGGGTCAATGCCCCCGCGGCCCGGTCTGAGACCAGGCCTCATGGTGGATCAGGGTCTGATCAACCAGACTGTTACTGCTGGCCGCACGCAAGCTAACGTACAAACCACAGCCTGGTTGGTCAGGTACTGACCAACCAGGCTGTGGTATGTACATCAGCAATTGAACAGTCTTGGGCCCTGGACACTTATTGTGTTGTCTCTCAAGTGTACCCGTGGCACCCCTGTTTTTCATTGGGGAATGTTGCATCTCCTACTGAGTCTTTTGCTTTCATAAGGAGTGATTTTTGTGTGCAAGATTGGTACCAATCCCTCCAGGACCTTCCAAGTGTATATTATCATGTATCTCTCTCACCTGCATTCAAGGAAATACAGATCAAAGACCTTCAAACGTTCCCAGTAGTTTAGGTGCCTTATTGTACTTTTGTGTGCCGTGAAAGTTCTTTGTACACTCTCCAGGTGTGCAGTGTTGCCAGCCTTGAAGGGGGCCGTTAGTGTACAGCAGTATTCTAGCCTAGAGAGCACAAGCTATTTGAAGAGAATCATCATAGGCTTGGCATCCTAGTTTTGAAGGTTCTCATTATCCATCCTATCATTTTCCTAGTGGATGAGGTATATTGGTAATTTTCCTTATTCCTGATGGGAGGCTGTTAAGCAGTCTTGGGCCCTGGACAATTATTGTCTTTTCTTAGCGTACTAATGACATCCCTACTTTTCGTTGGGGTGCCTTAAGCCATGTCTTTGGCCTTTGTAGGGAGTGATTTCTGTGTGCAGATTTGGGACCAGTCCCTCAAAGCATTTACTAAACTCAATATGCTTTTCTCTCTCAGTTATGTGTGAATTGTATACAAGCTTGAAAGTATGTCTTAATCGACCAATATTTGTGCTAACATACATGGAAAAAAAAGTTAAAAATACAGAATGTAAATAAATGTTTTAGTAAATTATTTAAAATATATTTAAAAATCCAAATATATTACAACCGCACAAATGAAATAATCATTAATCGATGTTTCCATAACAAAAGTTTTTTTTTTTTTAATTCCACCAAAACACACCTGGCTATAGAAGGTAGATGCTGCAAGTGTGTCATCATCAGCTGTGGGTGCTGGGTTCAGTGATACCGTTCCATCATCTAGTTCTACCCAGTGCCGGAAAGCCATAGCACTATATAAACACAAGGCAAGTGCAAAAAAATTAAACCTGGCATTTTAAAATATTAACTTCTTGAGTGTTAAGGATGCTGTTATTAAAGTGTTCACCACAATTAGAAAACAGCATTTAAAAATACAAATAAGATCACACAATGTATTATGATAATGGTGGACAATTTATGACATATATATATGGTATTATTAAATAACATTCTACTGAACAGACCTTCTGACTGTGTGCCCAAGAGCATCTGCGAGGGTAGAGGTCAGTGTTCGTGCTGGTGGAGTGAGCGTGAGGGTAGATGTTGGAGTTAAATTTGACTGAACCCCAAACACAACTTTTTTACCTTCTAACCATCCCTCCACTTCACTAATGCTATTTACTAACATCCTGTAAAAAGAAGAGGTACCATGAGTACACTAAGAGATAACACAATAAGTGTCAGGGGCCCCAAGACTGTTCAACTGCCTCTCATCATACATGAAGGGAATTACCCACAGACCCCTAAAGTCAGTACCTAACTAGGCAGGGTGTGGTTTGTACGCTGGATTGCATGTGGCCAGCAGTAACAGCCCGGCTGATCCAGCTCTGATCCACTACGAGGTCTGATCATGAACCAGGCCACAGAGGCATTGACCCCCAGAACACCCTCCAGGTTTACTCCAGGTAATACAAGTGTGTACAGTACTCTAGACAGAAAAATAAACTGAACTACATACTTACAAAATTTACTGAATAAGAGTTGAGCTGTGAATATGAGAAATAAAATGAGTAATTGCAACAATCCTGAGTGATAAGATGTGTGAAAACTATGAAGGGTGTATGAATTTACTTTTCTTCACTTGTAGCAAAAATTCTGCCTGCCTGAAGATTCGTTCCATCTATTCCTTCCAATAGTTTAATAAAGCTACTGCACATGCAGATTCTTCAGATAGGACCAGGAAATTAAGCTTTTTATTCTGCTAATTTTGGCAAGATAAGGTCAAGTTACTAGGCTAGTCTTGGTGCAAAATAAAAAAAAAAGTGCCAAATAAAAAAATTACCTTAACTTTTATTAACCTTTTCAGGGTCCAAAGGCCAAATTTCAAAGTGCGCACCAGTGTCCAAGAATTTTCAAAAAATAATTTTGTTATTTTTTCTTATGAGATGGTAGAGAATCTTTTTCTGAAGATAATAAAACAAAAAGTACGAAATTTGATGGAAAATTGACGAAATTATGCTCTCGCGAATTTTGATGTGTCAGAGATATTTACGCATCGACGATTTTGCCAACTTTGACTCCCATTTTAGGCCAATTACATTATTCCAGTTAGCCAAATTCTTAGCTATTTCACTAGTATTACTTTTATTCCATCGACTGAGCACAAGAAATCGCCAAGTCAACTGTTTCAACTACAAAATAGTGATCGGAAATTGGTAATTTGGCCAATTTAATGCAAAGTTCAAAATATTCCAATTTCAAAATAGGGTCCAGAATAAACAACGCAGGCATTCCTGGAACTAAACTAACATTTCCACTGTTCATTAGTTATGTTTTCAGGCTTTACAAATGAATTCCATTTTGATTTTTTATTCACACATAATGAATTTTTATTCAAACCAAAAAATAGAAGATTTACTGTTATGCAATACTGTAATAATTGTATAATTAATACCACATTTGTGAATGTATATTAGACCCACCAGCTGGCTTGTATTAACCATGTGGGATCATTTGTTTATTCCTGAACATCGGCAAAAATTTAACATTTCTGCTATTTTGAGCTCAGTTTCAACCCATTTCCATTACTAAAACCAATCAAAATCATCTCTATTTCTGTAATATATCTTCCATTCTATCAAATGAGACCAAGAAATCGCAAATACTACTATAAAAAACATATGAAAAAACACTGCAAACTCGCTGTTTTAATCGAAAATTAGAGTCTCAGTTTTTCTCTCATTACGCACTGTGTGCTGCAGGATTTGTTTTATGTGGTGCACACACATACAACATAGATGTATTCTCTCATATCTAGGCCCAAATTTACCACTCATAGCTTATCAGAGTGAGCTGAGCTCATGGCGTAGATCTACAGTTTGGACCCTCAACGTATAGCCGTAAATCTACGGCACGGACCCTCAAAAAGTTAACTGTTTTCTTGAGAAAAAGTAGGTGCAAATGTTCAGATAATTCCTCCTTCCCTCCATAAAGATATGAATTAGCACAAAGAACTACAAGATAAAAAAAAAAGGAACTTTTGATAAATCATTGCAAAAAATTACCAGAACCAACAAGCCTTACAATGCTATCACTAAAATCATACAGAAGTCTGGCAGTTTCAGCATATCCAGACTCCAGGCAAACTGGATACTGCCATCATGTGGCATCCACCATCTACTCATAACCCTATTATGAGTGTCCTCTCCCATCATATCACCTGTCTCCCACCACAATGTATGCTCACTTCTTACACATCTGCACAAGAATTAAGAATCCACTCATGGGAAAATAAATATCCTGAACTGTAAATGTTTTAATTCACAAATCTTACATGGTTATAGCCTCCTGCACACTATGCTCCCAGTGTATTAGAAAAGGTGTCAATCTTGTTTTAACTTCTGGGGCAGCACGTATGTGTGAGGCCAGTGCTTCTGGAGCTCCCTCTTCAGCACCAGCCAATAAGAGTCCAGCAGACCCAAGTGTTGTGACCAGTTTCTCAAAGGTGTCAATAAGCTCATCAACAGTTTCATCACAACTCTGGTTGCAGTCTTCCAACAGCTCCTATAGGTAGGTGCAACAAATAACATTACAGTAAGAGTATGCAGCACAACATTACTGTACACATACTTGCTGTAGTAATAAGTTTTGTGTGACTGTAAAAGCTGTGCACTACAGTAGTAGCAGTATTATAAGGTTAGGTGTAATAGAAATGTGAACAAGATAATGATGAAATAACAGTAGGTATGTCTTCCAATCGCATTTTACTACAATAACACCAAGTGTGTAAGAATTACTGTAGTATAAATGGAAGAAAGTTCAACAAATCCAAGTTTTAAGATAAACTTTCTCAAAGTTTACTAAGTGGACAAACTTGACATTCAAATGTTTTTAATAATGCCACCTTAAAACTTAGCTAATTTTAATGAAGACTGGGAGATGTTTAGAAATGAGTGTAGATTATTGTTAGTATAAAAAAATTGTTGTGAATAACGAAATACAGTGGACCCCCGCTTAACGATCACCTCCAAATGCGACCAATTATGTAAGTGTATTTATGTAAGTGCGTTTGTATGTGTATGTTTGGGGGTCTGAAATGGACTAATCTACTTCACAATATTCCTTATGGGAAAAAATTCGGTCAGTACTGGCACCTGAACATACTACTGGAATGAAAAAAGTTCGTTAACCGGGGGTCCACTGTATTAATGATTTAGATGGCTGTAGGGAACTGATGGTAGAATATTATAAGATAATTCTAACAATCATCCATATCAAAGTGACACTCAAGGACCTCCTGAAAGTTGAGCAGTACTTCCTTTCAGGCAATGATACCCTTGAAATGTTCCTTATAAAGTCCTAGATCTTCAATATAATTTTTTTTTCAGTGAGAGTAGCACTTGAGTTATGTAACTTTGTGGGAAAAAAATAAAAAACACAATACCGTACCTGGAACAATACTGGTCCAAGTCAGACCAAAACATTGTCAAAAGTTTCATTCTTACTATATGCGAGTAATCTGTGTTTCATGGGAAAAATCTGTCGAGATGAGCTATATACACTAGGTGACTAGAGTCATAAGTAATGTGCCTTTTTTTAATTTTTAAAATGATTCGTTCACTGCACTCTGAGGGAGGGGTGGGGATTCTGTAGTGTGGGAGGGGGCATCTGAACTGTAGTATGTATCAATGTACTTCTGGCAAGGCAGTGATGGAGTAAGTGATGGTGAAAGTTTTTTTTTTTTTTTTTGGGTTGCCTTGCCTTGGTGGAAGATGGCCATTGTGTTAAACTAAAATATCAGCAGCACATTAGTCAAGAACCAGTGACCTGTTCAACTTCAACCACCTTGAAAGTGTTGCTACTGCTGGCATTTATGATGAAGTACAATGGATGTTTTTATAAAACTTCCAAATGGATATAATCCCTATAACACATAAGATAGGAATGACAAGGCACCACAATGATAAAAATTTTTGGAAAATCTACCTCTATCAACCGCAAGCATAACATGAGAACTATGGTAACATTTTCATTTTGTCCAAGCAGCTGGTTTTTTTTTAACACATCGGCCACTTCCCACAGAGGAAGGGTGACCCAAAAAGAAAGAAAAAACTTTCATCAACACTCAACACTTTCACCAACAATCATACATAATCACTGTCTTTGCAGAGGTGCTCAGATAAGACAGATTATATGTCCCTCCAAACTGCCAATATGCTAAACCCCTCCTTTAAAGTGCAGGCATTGTACTTCCCAATTCCAGGACTCGAGTCAGGCTAACCAGTTTCCCTGAATCCCTTCACAAAATATTACCCTCCTCACACTCCAACAGCTCGTCAGGTACCAAAAACCATTTGTCTCCATTCATTCCTATCTAACACACTCATGCACGCTTGCTGGAAGTTCAAGCCCCACGCCCACAAAACCTCCTTTACCTCCTCCCTCCAACCTTTTTGAGGACGATCCCTATCTTGCCTTCCTTCCTTTACAGATTTATATGCTCTCCAAGTCATTCTACTCTGTTCCATTCTCTCTAAATGACCAAAGCACCTCAACATTCCCTCTTCAGCAGCTGTTATTAAAGATAAACAATTCTGTGGCAGCTGTCCAAAGAAAGGATAAGGTACTTCACACACTTACTAGCAGCTCCTTTACATGATTCCTGTATTACAACAGATTCATCCAACACATACACGAACATATACTGTTAATTTCTCAGTTTTTCATGTCAGGTTGACAAAAAATATACTGTAATTCTGTATACAGTTATCCACAGTACAGGACCATTAGAGAGCATAGGTGTTTGCAAAGGTTGCTGTGAATCCACTGTAATAATAGCAACACACTTGTTATTGTCTGTACTGGGTAAGATTTAAGCAGGGTTAAGCAGCTTTTAATTTTTCTCATGCAATATCTTTTCCAAGATCAATCACCTTAACAGATGTTATCATCTTTGTAGGAGAGACCTTAACCCTTTCAGGGTCGCCAGACCCTCTCCGAGACTTGTTCTCAGGGTCGCCAAAATTTAAAAAAAAAAAAAATTATTTTTTCTTATGGAAAGATAGAGAATCTTTTCCCGATCATAATGACATCAAAAGTATGAAATTTGATGGAAAACTTACGGAATTACGCTCTCGCGAAGTTAGCGGTCTGGACGATGTTTACGCATCGGCGATTTTGCCCACTTTGAACCCTATTTTCGGCCAATTCCAGAGTACTAGTCGACAAAAATCATAACTATTTCGCTAGAACTCCATTTTTCTATCGAATGAGTACAAGAAACCACCCATTTACCAATTTCAACTATCCAATATAGTGGTCAGAATTTAGCAATTTTGTCAATTTCACACAAACTTCAAAAGATGCCAGTTTCCAAATAGGATCCAGAATAAACAAGAAAGACATTCCTGGCACTAAAATAACATTTCCTCTGTTCACTAGTCATGTCCCCACACCCCTCTTACATTCTTTTGCTTTCCGCTTTGAATTTTTATTCTCACAAAAAATAGAAGATTTACTGTTATGCAGAGTACTGCATTAGTATAGAAATGGTATAAATAATATTGACGCACTTGTGAAAGAATATTAGACTCACCAGTTGACGTGTATTGGAAGCTTAGCATGATTTGTTTACTTTTGAACTTTGGTAAAAATCGAACATTTCTGCTACTTCGAGCTCAATTTCAAGGTACTTTTCATTGTAAAGCCAGTCAAAATCATCTCAATTTCTGTAATATGTCTTCCATTCATTAAAATGAGGCCAGGAAAACTAGAATACAACAATAAATACCTTATGAAAATACAGTGCAAAGTCACTGTTTTAGTCCAAAAACACGGTCAAAGTTTTTTTCTCATTACGCACTGTGTGCTGCAGGATTTTTTTTATACTGCACACACTGACCACATAGACCCATTCTTTCATATGTAGGCATACCAGCTTTCTCTCACTAGATTTGAGTGTGCTAGAATTTAGGCGTACTAGTACGTCAAAAACCCTGGTGCGTAAGCCGTACTAGTACATCCGAAACCCTGAAAGGGTTAAAGTTCCATGTTTTTTTTGGTCAGAAATATTACAGGCTCAAATTCAATAAGAACATAAAATAAGCATATACAAAAATGAGAGGAAAAATCTTTACCTGAAGTGAAGGAGGACCTTCTGCAGGGTGAGCGGTGATGTGGGACACAGTCATGAGACGAGTGTTCTGTATAGTGGCCAAGTAATCCTCCAGGTGATGGCTGATGCTGCAAAACAACAAAGCCATTAACCTTCAGAATTTTGAGGGGGCTCCCAGAAGATTCAGTCCCACTCCAAGGAAAACAGTAAATTAAAGCTATGCACATTGTAAGACAGGTAGAAAGTAAATTAAGCTACTTCACATTACATAAATTTTAGCAATATTAGACAAGGTTGTTTGGTTAGTTTCACTGCAAAATTAAAAGTTGGCATATCAAAAAGGAAAATAATTAACCAGATTTATGTAAATTTTTCATATGCAAAATTTTTATTTTGCATTAAAGACAGTATAGTATTTTAAATGCTTAATTTAGTATTTAAAAACAGTGATTATGTGTGAGTGAGGTGAAAGTGTTGAATGATGATGAAAGTCCCTCAGACTACACTCCCTGGAACATAGGTGAGAAAAATACACCATAATCTATACCTTGAAAATCCAGTAGAGACTGGTTCTAAGTCAGCACACTGAAATTACTTTTTATGTGAGTGGAAGGATTAATATATAATGCAAAATACCCCTAATGAAAAGCAGGGTGCATGCCCATCCATCAACTATTAGGGAAAATTCCCAACAGACCTCTAAATTTCTCCAGCAAAGAACTTGACAAATTCCTGCAGGTCATCCCTGACCCGTCAGGCTGTGGTGCTGCTAGCAACAATAGCCTGACCAATCAGGCCATCAATCAGGAGATGTTATCTGTGATTGGGCAGCAGAGGCAATGGTCCCTGGCACTAATAACAGGAAAATAGCAGGAAAGTAAACTGTTTTCCTTGAGAAGTGACTGAGGGAATCCTCAGGTGTCCTCAGCTCATATTCAATATTTATTAGATACTAATTATTCTTAATTAAACAAGGTAAGGTAAGGTTATGAGGATAACAAAAAGATTAGGTGATGAAAGATTGGATATCAGATTGGAGGGAGAGAGTATGGAGGAGGTGAATGTATTCAGATATTTGGGAGTGGACGTGTCAGCGGATGGGTCTATGAAAGATGAGGTGAATCATAGAATTGATGAGGGGAAAAGGGTGAGTGGTGCACTTAGGGGTCTGTGGAGACAAAGAACTTTGTCCTTGGAGGCAAAGAGGGGAAAGTATGAGAGTATAGTTTTACCAACGCTCTTATATGGGTGTGAAGCATGGGTGATGAATGTTGCAGTGAGGAGAAGGCTGGAGGCAGTGGAGATGTCATGTCTGAGGGCAATGTGTGGTGTGAATATAATGCAGAGAATTCGTAGTTTGGAAGTTAGGAGGAGGTGCAGGATTACCAAAACTGTTGTCCAGAGGGCTGAGAAAGGGTTGTTGAGGTGGTTCGGACATGTAGAGAGAATGGAGCGAAACAGAATGACTTCAAGAGTGTATCAGGCTGTAGTGGAAGGAAGGCAGGGTAGGGGTCGGCCTAGGAAAGGTTGGAGGGAGGGGGTAAAGGAGGTTTTGTGTGCGAGGGGCTTGGACTTCCAGCAGGCATGCATGAGCGTGTTTGATAGGAGTGAATGGAGACAAATGGTTTTTAATACTTGACGTGCTGTTGGAGTGTGAGCAAAGTAACATTTATGAAGGGGTTCAGGGAAACCGGCAGGCCGGACTTGAGTCCTGGAGATGGGAAGTACAGTGCCTGCACTCTGAAGGAGGGGTGTTAATGTTGCAGTTTAAAAACTGTAGTGTAAAGCACCCTTCTGGCAAGACAGTGATGGAGTGAATGATGGTGAAAGTTTTTCTTTTTCAGGCCACCCTGCCTTGGTGGGAATCGGCCAGTGTGATAATAAAAAAAAAATAATAATAATAAACAATCTCATTAAAAGAAATGTCTTATTGCTGGTAAAGGGGTTTTGATCCAATGATTTGGAGCTATCTTCTTATCATCAAACTATATCTACCCTCAACCTCTTCCATTTCCCAGGAGATGAAATGACTCGTAAAGATTTAACACTTCCTTATGGACATAATTATAATGCAATACAACAAATGATATAACTACTGTATAAAATGTATACATACTCACCTGATCAGTTTGTTGGCAAGGGCACGAACATGCTCAATGACATCTCTGCAGGATGCACTGAAATGTGTTAGTGCTGCTGGAGACCAGGTCACTACCCGCTGACCCGCCGCCAACACACGATCAGCACCGGATAATTCAGCACTCAGAAGTTCCCGCTAATATCAGAATTACCAGACACTAACTTGAATTAGCATCTAGCGTAGGAGCTAAATGCATGCTTCATTATATGAATGATGAGCTATGATACTGATCTTATTAATAAATATGCAGACTGATACAATATACACAACTTTTTACTTATACAGTTCAGTTTACATGCTAAGAGCTCGCACTAAAGGAAGACCACCACCCATTACACTGATGTAATCTACAACAGTTGACTAATGTCCATATACTTATTTGTTGCTAGCTGAACAAGAACAGCAAGTGTATAGAAATTTATCTATACATCTTGCCTACCCAGTAATCAAATGAGAGTAGTCTGTTGTGAGTCAAACATCCTACCATTGAGCTACCTAAAAATTGTTTAGATCATGCCAGAATCCTAATATTCAGAGAGGTTGTTTCTTACTAGAAGTTACATACCATCATCATAAAAACTCTTCTTATAATTTGCTATAAAAAGTTACACAAAACAAATAAAAGCTATACTAACTTGTATTGGGCTCAGTTGGTCAAGCACAGAATGATAGTCTTTCAGTGTCAGATGAAGGCCCATAGCAGCAGTTTGGAGAGTTTGATAATGAAGAGTAAGATGAGATGCCAATTCTGGGGGACGGATTCCTGCCTGTAGCAGCTGGCCTGACTCCCACACAACTGACTGTAATTCTCCTGGAAGCTGAACCCGCCATCCCCCGACTCCTGACATGGAAATTTTGTAATTATCAAATTTAGAAGCTTAAACATTGTGAGAAATGCAAAATATAATAGTCCAGTTGTAACACATGTAAGAAACTTTGCTCAACACCTCAGGTGTTTTTTTTTTTTTTTTTTTTTTTTTTTTTTTTTTTTTTTTTTTAGCAAATCGGCCATCTCCCACCAAGGCAGGCTTATATGTTTAGCAAATACAAGTCATATACAGAACCACTAGGCCACTGCACTACAAAAACACAAACACACAGATAAGTGACAAGAGAGAGAGAGAGAGAGAGAGAGAGAGAGAGAGAGAGAGAGAGAGGGCTGGGTGGATTGCATTTGTTTAGAACGAAAGATGTTTCATACTACTGTATCGCATAAGAGGCTGGGCCTAAACTTGAGATTCAAGAGGGAATAACAGGGAACATGCTTCGGTGGATCAAAGAGTATTTTAGGGTGTGAAGCATGGGTGGTGAATGTTGCAACAGGGAGAAGGCTGGAGGCAGTGGAGATATTATGTCTGAGGGCAATGTGTGGTGTGAATATAATGCAGAGAATTCATTGTTTGGAAATTAGGAGGAGATGTGGGATTACTAAAAATATTATCCAGAGGGCTGAGGAGGGGTTGTTGAGGTGATTCAGACATGTAGAGAGGATGGAACAAAATAGAATGATTTCGAGAGTGTATAAATCTGTAGTGGAGGGCAGGCGGGGTAGGGGTCGGCCTAAGAAAGGTTGGAGGGAGGGGGTAAAGGAGGTTTTGTGTGAGAGGGGCTTGGACTTCCAGCAAGCATGCATGAGTATGTTAGATAGGAGCGAATGGAGGCAAATGGTTTTTAGGACTTCAAGTGCTATAGGAGTGTGAGCAGGGTAATATTTATGAAGGGATTCAGGGAAGTGAACATTAAAATGGTATAAAATACCGACAGGTTGTTAGGTAAGACACATATACAACAGTTAGGTATCTTTATTTCGAAACGTTTCGCCTACACAGTAGGCCTTACGGATTCAGGGGAATTGGCAGGCTGGACTTGAGTCTTGGAAATGGGAAGTACAGTGCCTGCACTCTGAAGGAGGGGTGTTAATGTTGTTGTTTTATAACTGTAGTTTAAGCACACCTCTGGCAAGACAGTGATGGAGTGAATGATGGTAAAAGTTTTTCTTTTCCGGGCCACCCTGCCTTGGTGGGAGATGGCCGATGTGTTAATAAAAAAAAAGAAAAGAATGACTGTCAAGCAAGAGAAATTAGAATGGGGAAGAGTAACTACAGGGGTTCTGCAAGGATTGGTATTAGGACCAGTACTGTTTCTGCTTAAGCAAATGATATTCCAGATGCTATTAATTCAGATATATTCCTGACTGCTGATGATGTAAAATTAATGAAGAGAACAGATGAGGACAAAGAAAGGCTCCAAAGGGTAATGAAGATTAGGGAAGGAGCAAGATCAGAAATGGGGAATAGACTAGGGGAACAGAAGCTGTAGACTTCACCTAGGTGTGAGCACAGTTCCCTGTATAACACCAGAAGCTCAAATCAGCTAAATAACCTTCAAAACCAATGTTCATCTGGCAAACTAAGAGTAGCCATCAGGAATCTCAACTAATAGTAATTCCGGGTCCTTTATATAACATATGTTGGCCCCATCTTGGAGTATGCTACACCAGTATGGAACTCACACCTGAAAAATCCTGTTAAGAAACTGGAGAAAATGAAGTATGTAGCAAGGCTTGTTCCTGAGTTAAAGGACATGAGGTACAAGGAGAGGCTAACTGAAATAGACCTAAAGACACTGGAGGATGGAAGAACCAGGGAACACATGATAACAACATACAAAATACTCTGGGGAATTGATGAGGTTGACAGGGATAGGCTGTTTGAGAGGCGAGAAACAGAACTCGAGGATACACCTGGAAGTTAAATACACAGATGAGTCACAAGGATCTTAGGAAGTATTTATTCAGTTCAGAGTGGTTGAGAAGTGGAATGATGTAGATGAGGAAGTGGTGGAGGCAGGCTCCATACATAGTTTTAAGAGCAGGTATGATAGGGCACACAAGGTTAAGTGGGAGTGAATCTGAAGAGTGGCAAATTAAGTGGTAGGGTCAGGATCTGAGAACTGACCCCTGCAACCACAAACAGGAGAGTACAGATAGTGAGTACACACACACACCACACACACACACACACACACACACACACACACACACACACACACACACACACACACACACACACACACACACACAAAACTTGATAGGGTAGATGGGAAATAGGGATAGGCTGTCTAAGAGACAAGAAACAGATACGAGGCAAGGCCAGGAGCTATGACTTGATCCCTGCAACCACAACTAGGTGAGTACTAGGGACACAATTAGAAGTTAAAGACAGATTAACCACAGGGATATCAGCGAGTCTCAAAGTGATCAGGAAGTGGAATGACCTCAACAAAGAAGTGGTGGAGGCAAGATCCATACATAGTTTTAAGAGCAGGGTTTAAAGAACAGGTATGATAAAGCACCTGATGCTGGGAGAATTTGGCAAGTGGCAAGTTGATGATGTAAATAACCTTTGTCATTTCAGTTACTTACTTACTTAGGAGCTGGGACTAGACCCCTGCAACCATATATAGATGAGTGTGCACACACACACTGAGAATATAGCTTATAAATAACCACAGGGTGAAAAAACTATGGGTAATATCACTTTACCAAAGTGGTTTTTATCCCGTGCAAGGACTGGTGTGACCAGCAACTTGGGGATCTGCTGGGTGACCCTCTGGCCCCATTCCAGCACCATCTGTTCTCTGGCTCTCTCCACTTCCTTCTGGACCTCCTCAACCTCAGCTCCAACCTCCACCCACAACTCTCCGCCTGCACCTGAACCCTGGAAGAAAAAAACAGTCTCTCAGTGAAACATTCCATGGATCTTGTAGGGCAAGGTTCATGCTTTTATTTTGTTTAAATCATTGTGCTTATTAGAGCACCATCACTGTACTGAAGTGTCATCTGAATTACCTATAATCAACTACATTTGTGGTATTGTGAAGCAGGACAATGGATACACTCAACTATTTTTTTTTTTTTTTATTATCACACTGGCCGATTCCCACCAAGGCAGGGTGACCCGAAAAAGAAAAACTTTCACCATCATTCACTTCATCACTGTCTTGCCAGAAGGGTGCTTTACACTAATGCAAGATATTGTGATATTTCCCTGTCTGTAAAATACATCACATGGTTTTGTGCTGGAAAAGTGAGAGAAAAGGAAACCCGACTGTTACCTGGTACTGTGAGTAGAGAACTTTGAGCGTGGTCCAAGCTGCCAGGCGTTTTGTCAGGTAAGTACCCATCCATCGAACTCTCCCTGACAACGGTGCCTGAGTACCGGGTCTCTCTACCTGCTGTTGGGCCTGTAAGTTACAGTATATTCTCAGTAAATAGGAAATAAAATCTGGAACATTTCTGAGTCCATCCTGGATCATTAACAAGTTGTAAGTGCTAATGGACTGGGTTTGAACATTGTAAAGACTAAGGGCATCCCTTGTTTTATGTGATAAATGTATTCCCAGTCCATGACACAGAACGCACAATTGCAAAAAGTGAAATAACAGTGTCTCATAATAATAAAAAGGCTTTCATAAATGAGGTGATGTAGGTAACAGCTCTTAGCTTGTAAATAAAGTTAAGAACCCTACCCTAAACTTATAAAACCCTGTGAAAAAAAAAAAAAAAAAAAAATTGGGATTTGCTTTGAGATTTTAAATTCTACTTTTATTGACTAATGTCAGTTTGCCACACATGCACCAAAAAGTAATATACACACAAACTGAATCTGGTCCAAAAACAACTTGGAAAAAATGAAATTCAAAATTTAATCATAACTCATATATAATTAAGAGAGCCAAATTTGAAAAAAAAAAATCCACATTTGATTCATTTTTAGCAAAAAATTGTAAGCATAACAGACAGGGATTAAATGGTCATATTCCCTTTATATAAAGGGAAGGGGAACAAGAGAGATTGTAAAAATTATGGGGAAGAAGTTTACCGAGTATACCAGGTAACGTGTATTGTATGGTTATTACTGAAAGAATTAGAGGTAAGACAAAGAGCAGGATTGCAGATGAGCAAGGACTTTAGAATGGGTAGGGGATATGTAGATCAGGTGTTTACACTGAAACATATGTGCAAACAGTATTTAAAAAAGGTAAGGGAAGTTTTCTAGGTAGTAGGTTCGTAGACAGCAACCGCCCAGGGAGGTACTACCGTCCTGCCAAGTGAGTGTAAAACGGAAGCCTGTAATTGTTTTACATGATGGTAGGATTGCTGGTGTCCATTTTTCTGTCTCATAAACATGCAAGATTTCAGGTATGTCTTGCTACTTTTACTTACACTTAGGTCACACTACACATACATGTACAAGCATATATATACACACCCCTGGGTTTTCTAATATTTTCTTACACTAGTTCTTGTTCTTGTTGTTTATTTCCTTACCTCCATGGGGAAGTGGAACAGAATTCTTCCTCCGTAAGCCATGCGTGTTGTAGGAGGCAACTAAAATGCCGGGAGCAAGGGGCTAGTAACCTCTTCTCCTGTATATATTACTAAATGTAAAAGGAGAAACTTTCGTTTTTCCTTTTGGGCCACCCCGCCTCGGTGGGATACGGCCGGTGTGTTGAAAGAAAGAAAGAAAGGGAAGTTTTCATTGCATTTAGGGATTTATAAAAGGCCAATGATAGAGTGGATAGTGGAGGAATGTAATAGATGTTGCAAGTGTGTGGAATAGGTGGTAAGTTACTAAATGCTGTAAAGAGTTTTTATAAGGATAGTGAGGCTCAGGTTAGGGTGTGTAGGAGAGACGGAGATTACTTATCAGTAAAAGCAGGTTTTAGACAGGTATGTGTAATGTCACCATGGTTGTTTAACATGTCTATAGATGGGGTTGTAAAAGAAGTAAATGCTAGGGTATTGGGGAGAGGGGTGGGATTAAATTATGGGGAATCAAATACAAAATGGGAGCTGACACAGTTAATTTTTGCTGATGATACTGTGCTTTTGGGGGATTCTAAAGAAAAGTTGCAAAGGTTAGTGGACGAGATTGGGAGGATGTGTAAAGGTAGAAAGTTGAAAGTGAATATAGATAAGAGTAAGGCGATGAGGGTATCAAACGATTTCGATAAAGAAAAATTGGATATCACATTGGAGGGAGAGGGTATGGAAGAAGTGAATGTTTTCAGAAATTTGGGAGTTGACTTGTCAGTGGATGGGTTTATGAAGAATGAAGAAAACCATACAACTGATGAAGGAAAAAAAAGGTGAGTGGTGCGTTGAGGTATCTGGTGGAGACAAAGAACATTATCCATGAAGGCAATGAAGGGAATGAACGAGAATATAGTGGTACCAACACTCTTATACGAGTGTGAAGCATGGGATGTAAATGCTGCAGCAAAGAGGTGGCTGGAGGCAGTGGAGATGTCATGTCTAAGGGTAGTGTGTGGTGTAAATATTATGCAGAGAATTTGTAGTGTGGAAATTAGGAGGAGGTGTGGAGTTACTAAAAGTATTAGTCAGAGGGCTGAAGAGGGGCTGTTGAGGTGGTTTGGTCATTTAGAGAGAATGGAACAATGTAGAATGACTTGGAGAGCATATAAATCTGTTGGGAAAGGAAGGCAGGGTAGGGGTCGTCCTTGAAAAGGTTAGAGGGAGAGGGTAAAAGAGGTTTTGTAGGCAAGGGGCTTGGACTTCCAGCAAGCGTGCATGAGCGTGTTAGATAGGAGTGAATGGAGACAAATGGTTTCTGGGACCTGATGAGCTGTTGGAGTGTGAGCAGGGTAATATTTTGTGAAGGGATTCAGGGAAACTGGTTAAGCTAGGATAAGATAAGATTTCGTTTGATTTTTTAACCCCGCAGGGTTAGCCACCCAGGATAACCCAAGAAAGGCAGTGCATCATCGAAGATTGTCTGTCTTATTTCCATTGGGGTCCTCAATCTTGTCCCCCAAGATGCGACTCACACCAGCTGACTAACACTCAGGTACCTACTTGCTGCTAGGTGAATAGGACAACAGGTGTAAGGAAACACATCAAAATGTTTCTACCCCACTGGGAATTGAACCCAGGCCCTCCGTCTGAAGCGAGAGCTTTGCCAGCCAGGACTTGAGTCCTGGAAATGGGAAGTACAATGCCTGCACTTTAAAGGAGGGGTTTAGGATATTGGCAGTTTGGAGGGACATCTAAACTGTCATATCTTCTAAACTGTCATATCTGAGTGCCTCTGCAAAGATAGTGATTATGTATGAGTGATGGTGAAAGTGTTGAATGATGATGAAAGTTGTTTCTTTCTTTTTGGGTTTTTCTTTCTTTTGGGGTTTTTCTTTCTTTTGGGGTTTTTCTTTCTTTTTGGGTTTTTCTTTCTTTTTGGGTTTTTCTTTCTTTTTGGGTCACCCTACCTCAGTGGAAAATGGATTAAGAACAAATTAAATTAAAAATTCAATCATAATTCTCCTCCTCTTTACTCTCCCTCCATGACTCTAATGAATTTAGTGCTTAGTTCTGATTATGATAATAATAACACTCTCCATCGAAAACCAACCAACCAGCTTGTCTGTAAAGATTAAAATGCACACACAGTATTGTGAGTCTCCCTACAGGTGTAGAGAGATATACTGGGTGATTCCATAAGAGCAAATTTATCTGGATGTACTGTAGTGAATTACTGGTAGAAATGCATTCACTACATAAAAGCTAATTTGCATCAAACAAAACAACAAATTTAAGAAGCAAAAGCTAACATTAACATTGACCAGATTCCCCGTAAAGGATTCAGTGAAAACTGGTTAACTGGACTTGAGTCCTGGTAGTGGAATTGGCAGTCCCTGCACTCTGAAGGAGGGATTGGGATGTTTCAGCCAGAGGGCCATATAAACTGTGATGTCAACACACTTCTGGTAAGACAGTGACTGAATGAGTGATGATGAATTAGTTTCCTTATTTGGATCACCATACCTTGAAGGTAAAAAAAACTAATAAAAGCAACAAAAGTTTTGGTTAGTCTAGCCATCAATCCAACCTGAAAATCTGCTCTGATGCCCTTGACTTCAGCAGCGAAGGCAGAGAGAAGGTCTGGAAGGCGAGAGATGAGCATTTGTCTGAACTTGTCTCTGCATGGCTCCTTCTGTAACACTCCTGCCACTGCTGTTACTAGCTCTGAGGTCCTGAGAAGTGACACACTGTGCTACACATGGCTATGTGGTAGAATATTCCAACAAGTATGTGAATAAGACACAATATGAGGCTCATGGCATTTCATTGACAAGACTTTAATAAGTCACTGAAATGCCATAACTGGCATACTGTCTTATTCACATCTATGGCAATATCTATATCCAGTATATTTATACCCAGTATAACCTATGCACTAAAAATTTAAGATGTTGGAAGAATTACAATTTCAAGTAATAATCACATCTTGTCTCAGCATGAATTTCACACACTGCCCCTCTTATCTGTGTAATTATTCAAGTGCATGATAAAAGGCTGTAGAAAGTGTAATAGTGGCTTATCTTTGTCAAATGCAATATAACAGTCACATTACTCCACTCTCCTTGCAGGTAAAGTAATAACAATGTTAAATATGTTGAACAATGCTGCTTCTTTTGAAAGAAATGTGATTAAAAATAAAAAGTGCTATAACTGTTTTTGTATTGGACTTTGTTTTCTGTAAAAGCTTCATTGACAAATTGTGAAGTAAATTTTCTTTTATTACTAGGAGCCATTAGTTTAAGAGAAAGATGAAAGCAAAATAGAGCATGAACTTAACACACAATCAGCTATTGGCTTACATTCTGTCCTTGAAGCTCTCTGTAATGGCACTGGAGACTGCTTGCTCCCACTTCTGCACAGCCAACTGGAAATCCTCTTTCTGCCTCACCCACCGATCCTGGTTCCTTGTTGAGAAGATGTTGAAGTCGTAGGCTGTGAGGACCCGCAGCACCTGCGACGTGACACTTTTGAGATGGTCAGGGTCTTGAACACGGATCAGCGCTGACCACTCTCCAGAGAACCCTACCTGTGCCTCCAGAAGCACCTGAAGAACATACAACATAAATAAATGTAAACAGAGACTACAAGTGTGATGTCAGGCACTTGATGGGCCAGTCAGAAGACAACTATTAACCCCTAAACTTAATGACCTTAGTGCAGTCTAAAAGCTTTTAGCATAACAAGTTTTCAACTCCTAAACAGTAATAATTTCTATATTACAGTGGACCCTCGACCAACGATAGCATCGATTAACGATAAATCCGACTAGCGATACATTTTAACGCAAAAATTTTGCCTCGACTAGCGCTAAAAAACTCGACCAACACTATTCGTTCCGTCTGAGACGCATCCACTTCTGGCCAGTGTTTACAAGCCAGCCAGCCACCGCGGTCGCTTCCAAGCATATAATCGGAACATTTCATATTATCACAGCCTTTTTAGTGATTGCACCTGCAAAATAAGTCACCATGGGCCCCAAGATAGCTTCTAGTGCCAACCCTACAGCAAAAATGGGGGTGAGATTACTATGGATATGAAGAAAGAGATCATTGCTAAGTATGAAAGTGGAGTGCGTGTCTCCGAGCTGGCAGGTTGTACACAAAACCCCAATCAAAAATCGTACTATTGTGGGAAAGGGAAAACGGCAATCAAGGAAGCTGTTCTTGCTAAAGGTGCAACTATGTTTTTGAAACTGAGATCGCAAGTACTCGAAGATGTTGAGAGACTGTTATTGGTGTGGAATAAACGAAAAAAAACAGATAGCGGGGAGATAGCATCTCTCAAGCGATCATATGTGAAAAGGCTAGGAAGTTGCATGACGATTTAATTAAAAAAATGCCAGAAAACTAGTGGTGATGTGAGAAAATTTTAAAGGCCAGCAAAGGTTGGTTTGAGAGATTTTAAAGGGAAGGGAAGTAACCCCAGAAAAGGATTGCCACCTCAAGTCCTTTAATGGAAGGGGATTCCCTTCTAAACACTAAGACCATCAACACTCTCCCCTCCTCCCATCCCATCAATCATCACCAGATCTTCAATAAAGGTAAGTGTCATGTAACTGTGCATGTCTTCTTCAGTTTGTGTGTATTAAAATTAATATTTCATGTGGTAAAAACAATTTTTTTTTCATACTTTGGGTTGTCCTACATGGATTAATTTGATTTCCATTATTTCTTATGGGGAAAATTAACTTGACTAACGATAATTTTGACTAACAGTGAGCTCTCAGGAATGGATTAATAGCGTTAGTCGAGGGTCCACTGTATTTGATAAATATGCTTGAATAGTTAAATCCCAAGTAAGACTCATCTAGATAGCACTGTTAGTGTGTCTGGATAGCACTGTTTCAATAAAACACCACTGAGATATTATATTCGAGTCCAAAGTACACAGGACCACTGTTATAGAAAATCATAAACTCTGGAAAAAAATATGCATCTACGTACTTTGCAAGCCAAATCATGTCTGAATATGCCACAGGATATTGGACCTCTATTATACATGCAATATTATTTTTTATTATTTAGCAGATGCATTATTATCATGCACTAATATAGGAAGCAAATTCCTGTTTGGTAAACACAAAGCAGACACACTATTGGACAATCACAGTACAAAAACAACAAAATATTGTATCAAATGATTCAACTATTTGTCCAAATGCAATTGAATCAAGCTGATATGATCACTTCATTGAACCCTGGTATTTTAATGCAAAACTCACAATCTTTACAATTAGGTAAACTTGACTGGTCATCAAGCATATTATTTGTGTGTAACAAATACCATCATGCCTGGTATTTACCAGACATGTCTTCACTTCCCATGCAAGGTGTGGGTTACAAGCACACAAAATGCTCGAAGATCAGTCAAGTTTACTCAATTGTAATAGTGGTGTTCCTGGCTTCATGTAGTTGCTGTGTTCAAGCCCATGACAACTGAAGTTATCTCAATCAGTTATCAACAATTGATTCTTCATTATAGTATGCTTATTTTATCATTCATTTGTATTGTACACAATAAACAATTAGGATACACAAGGAATAAAGGCCACATGACAGACCTTCATAATGTCACTAAGGTCACTGCACACTGCTCGGAGGCTGGTGATGGTTGGGAGAACTTTCTTAGGGTCGAAGTCCTGCCGCCCATCCCTCTGACGCTTAGCTGCAATAACTCCAGTGTTAATTGGGAAAAAATAATAAATAAATCCATATACTACCTATGGAATTCATTTACCCAATTAAAATGTTAGATGAACACATCTGAAGTACAAACATTACAGTATACACAGTAAAAAAAAGATATAAATTATCTAATGAAAGTTTTTACAAAGTTAAAACCTGATGCCTTTTATGTGAACCCAACATGTTTACAATTTATGTTTAATAGTGCTCTTTTCTGTCACGTCAGAGATCACAGCCATCCTACTGACTGGTCTTCTGCTAAAACTGTCTTCCCTACTTCCAACTTCAACAGTCATTGTCTGGTTGAATCCTCCCTAATATATAACTTTTCTTGTATGAATCTTAGTCCCAGCTTCGACTCTGTAGATGCCTTCCTCTCCCATTACAATGTAAAATGCTCCGAACTTCAGAACACTCGTGACCTAACCTGATCCCTCCTTTTTTTTCTTCTTCTCCCTCTTCCCCTTTCTTCTTTACATTTTCTCCTTTGGGTTGTCTTTCTTCTGCCCTGTGTATTTGTTCCTTCTTTATTTATTTATTTGTTTTCCCCCCCTCAGTGTTCTTGCTCTTACCCTCTGTGGGCACCCAGCTCCCTTGAAGTGCTCCTCTTTCTTAGTATATTTGACTGGCCCCTCCTACTCTTACTACCTCCCCACTACTACTTCCTTCCACCTCCACTACTACTACTACAACCACCTCCTGCCTATATATACCCATTCTGCTCTCCTTTTCATTAGTGTGACTTTGTAAATGGTCCAAGTCGGACCAAAACGTCGTCGTAAGCTCCTCTCTTCTATGTGTGGGTTATTTGTGTATCGTTCCAGTCACAGTATTGTGCCTTTTTTTCTTATTTATTTGCTCGGAAAGTGAGGGTGACCCAGAGTTGAGCCAGCTGGGAAAGGAAATCGAGTTGGGTTTGGAGGAGTTCAGTGAGTTTGGATGCTCACCTCTCTTAGCCCCATGTCTGCTGTCCTCCTCTGTGTTTGACAGATCTTCATACTCCCTCAGGTGTTTTTTCTCCATCATTGCTGTGTCCCGATCTACACAAACGCAATGTGTGTGTGTATGTGTGTATGCGTGCACATATGTGTGTGCGTGCATGTATGTATGTGTGTGTGTGTGTGTGTGTGTGTGTGTGTGTGTGTGTGTGTATCACCTAATTGTACTCACCTAACTGTGGTTGCAGGGGTCGAGACTCAGCTCCTGGCCCCGCCTCTTCACTGAGTGCTACTAGGTCCTCTCTCTCCCTGCTCCATGAGCTTTATCATACCTCATCTTAAAGTTATGTATGGTTCTTGCCTCCACTACTTCACTTGCTAGGCTATTCCACTTCCTGACTACTCTATGACTGAAGAAATACTTCCTAACATCCCTTTGACTCATTTGGGTCTTCAACTTCCAATTGTGACCCCTTGTTTCTGTGTCCCCTCTTTGGACCACCCTGTCTCTGTCCACCTTGTCTATTCCATGCAGTATTTTGTATGTTGTTATCATGTCTCCCCTAACCCTCCTGTCCTCCAGTGTTGTCAGTCTGATTTCCCTTAACCTTTCTTCATAGGACATTCCCCTTAGCTCTGGAACTAACCTTATCGCAAACCTTTGCACTTTCCATAATTTCTTGACATGCTTGATCAAGTGTAGGTTCCAAACAGGTGCTGCATACTCCAGTATGGGCCTGATGTACATGGTGTACAGTGTCTTGAACGATTCCTTACTAAGGTATCGGAACACTGTTCTTAGGTTTGTCAGGCGCCCATGTACTGCAGCAGTCATCTGGTTTATGTGTGCTTCCGGAGATGTGCTTGGTGTTATACTCACCCCAAGATCTTTCTCCTTGAACGAGGTTTGCAGTCTTTGGCCACCTAGCCTATACTCTGTCTGTGGTCTTCTGTGCCCTTCCCCGATCTTCATGAGTTTGTATTTGGCAGGGTTAAACTTAAGAAGCCAGTTGCTGGACCAGGTGTCCAGTCTGTCCAGGTCTCTTTGAAGTCCTGCCTGACCCTCATCTGATTTAATTCTCCATTAACTTCACATCATTTGCAAACAGGGACACCTCTGAGTCTATCCCTTCCATCATGTCATTCACATATACCTAAAATAGCACTAATCCTAGGACTGACCCCTGTGGGACCCAGCTCGTCACAGGTGCCCATTGTGATATCGCATCGCATACCATGACTCGTTGTTGCCTCCCTGTCAAGGATTCTCTGATCCATTGCAGTGCCCTTCCTGTTATACATGCCTGATCCTCTAGCTTTTGCACTAATCTCTTGTGAGGAAATGTGTCAAAGGCCTTGCAGTCCAAGAAGATGCAATCAACCCACCCCTCTCTCTTGTGTCTTCTGTTACTTTGTCATAAAACTCCAAAAGGTTTACGACACGGGATTTGCCTTCCATGGATCCGTGCTGGTTGTCGTTTATAATCTTGTTCCATTCCAGGTGCTCCACCACTCTCCTGATAATCTTCTCCATGACTTTGCATACTATACACGTCAGTGACACTAGTCTGTAATTTAGTGCCTCTTTTCTGTCTCCTTTTTTAAAAATGGGAACTACATTTGTGGTCTTCCATACCTTAGGTAGTTTCCCAGTTTCAAAGGATGTGTTGAAGATTGTGGTTAATGGCACACACAGTATATCTGCTACCTCCCTGAGGACCCACGCAGAGATGTTGTCCGGTCCCATTGCATTTGAGGTATCAAGGTCACTTAGCAGCTTCTTCACCTCCTCCTCAGTTGTGTGCATGTCATCCAGCACTTGTTGGTGTATTCCCTGTTGGTGTCCCCCCTCTGTCCTGTCTTCCCAGAGTCCTTCCTGTCTACACTGTGATTTTTTTTTTTTTTTATCAAGTCGGCCGTCTTCCAACGAGGCAGGGTGACCCAAAAAGAAGAAAATCCCCAAAAAGAAAATATTTTCATTATCATTCAACACTTTCACGTCACTCACACATAATCACTGTTTTTGCAGAGGTGCTCAGAACACAACAGTTTAGAAGCATATATATATAAAGATACACAACATATCCCTCCAAACTGCTAATATCCTGAAACCCCTCCTTTAGAGTACAGGAATTGTACTTCCCATTTCCAGGACTCAAATCCGGCTATATAAAAATAACCGGTTTCCCTGAATCCCTTCACTAAATATTACCCTGCTCACACTCCAACAGATCGTCAGGTCCCAAATACCATTCATCTCCATTCACTCCTATCGAACACGCTCATGCACACCTGCTGGAAGTCCAAGCCCCTCGCCCACAAAACCTCCCTTACCCCTTCCTTCCAACCTTTCCGAGGATGGCCCCTACCCCGCCTTCCTTCCCCTACAGATTTAAATGCTCTCCATGTCATTCTACTTTGATCGTGGCCCGGTAGCCTGGTGGCTAAAGCTCCCGCTTCACACACTGAGGGCCCGGGTTCGATTCCCGGCTGGTGGAAACATTCGACACGTTTCCTTACACCTGTTGTCCTGTTCACCTAGCAGCAAATAGGTACCTGGGTGTTAGTCGACTGGTGTGGGTCGCATCCAGGGGGACAAGATTAAGGACCCCAATGGAAATAAGTTAGACAGTCCTCGATGATGCACTGACTTTCTTGGGTTATCCTGGGTGGCTAACCCTCCGGGGTTAAAAATCCGAACGAAATCTTATCTTATCTTATCTTATCCATTCTCTCTAAATGACCAAACCACCTCAACAAACCCTCTTCAGCCCTCTGACAAATACTTTTATTAACTCCACACCTTCTCCTAATTTCCACACTCCGAATTTTCTGCATAATATTTACACCACACATTGCCCTTAGACAGGACATCTCCACTGCCTCCAACTGCCTCCTCACTGCTGCATTTACCACCCAAGCTTCACACCCATATAAGAGTGTTGGTACTACTATACTTTCATACATTCCCTTCTTTTCCTCAATAGATAACGTTTTTTGTCTCCACATATACCTCAATGCATCACTCACCTTTTTTCCCTCATCAATTCTATGATTCACCTCATCCTTCATAAATCCATCCGCTGACACGTCACTCCCAAGTATCTGAAAACATTAACTTCTTCCATACTCCTCTTCCCCAATTTGATATCCAATTTTTCTTTATCTAAATCATTTGATACTCTCATCACCTTACTCTTGTCTATGTTCACTTTCAACTTCCTACCTTTGCACACACTCCCAAACTCATCCACTAACCTTTGCAATTTTTCTTTAGAATCTCCCATAAGCACAGTATCATCAGCAAAAAGCAACTGTGTCAATTCCCATTTTGTATTTGATTCCCCATAATTTAATCCCACCCCTTTTCCGAACACCCTAGCATTTATTTATTTATTTTATTTATTTATTTATTTATTAATTTGAACATGATACAGTGAAGTACGAAGAAATACAGTTATTACAGTGCAACATGCCAAAGCCCTTTGGATGCAGAGCATTATGGGCAGCCTTAAAATTAACTTAAGATTAACTAAGCAATGATATATTCAGTGGTAAAAACATTATTGTAAACAGATAACAATTTAGCACAATTGAGTATTACAAAGACAGGTCATATGGTCATTTACTGTGTTGCTGAACATTCAGTAGAATGGAGTATTCTGTTAGGTAATGTAATTAAAAAATAAAGTTTGATTGGGTCACAGGTTAGACATTTATGAGATACAATAATGAGAAACATTTACGAGATACAATTTATGAGATACAATTATTCAGTATTTATTTAGTTGTGGGTGAGTAGGTGATTTTTGAGAAGAGACTTGAATTTATGAACAGAAAGTGTTTCTTTTATATTCACAGGTAATGAATTCCAGATTTTAGGGCCTTTTATGTTTACCTGGAGAGACCTGGAGAGAGTTCCGGGGGTCAACGCCCCCGCGGCCCGGTCTGTGACCAGGCCTCCTGGTGGATCAGAGCCTGATCAACCAGGCTGTTGCTGCTGGCTGCACGCAAACCAACGTACGAGCCACAGCCCGGCTGATCCGGAACTGACTTTAGGTGCTTGTCCAGTGCCAGCTTGAAGACTGCCAGGGGTCTGTTGGTAATCCCCCTTATGTGTGCTGGGAGGCAGTTGAACAGTCTCGGGCCCCTGACACTTACTGTATGGTCCCTTAAGGTGCTAGTGACACCCCTGCTTTTCATTGGGGGATGGAGCATCGTCTGCCAAGTCTTTTGCTTTCGTAGTGAGTGATTTTCGTGTGCAAGTTCGGTACTAGTCCCTCTAGGATTTTCCAGGTGTATATAATCATGTATCTCTCCCTCCTGCGTTCCAGGGAATACAGGTTTAGGAACCTCAAGCACTCCCAATAATTGAGGTGTTTTATCTCCGTTATGTGCGCCGTGAAAGTTCTCTGTACATTTTCTAGGTCGGCAATTTCACCTGCCTTGAAAGGTGCTGTTAGTGTGCAGCAATATTCCAGCCTAGATAGAACAAGTGACCTGAAGAGTGTCATCATGGGCTTGGCCTCCCTAGTTTTGAAGGTTCTCATTATCCATCCTGTCATTTTTCTAGCAGATGCGATTGATACAATGTTATGGTCCTTGAAGGTGAGATCCTCCGACATGATCACTCCGACATGTGCATTGAGTTTTTGCATAGCGTAAGATGGACTCGAGGAACATCAAAGAGTGATCTGTGCCTTGTGTTATGGTCATGTGTTCTGTTGAGGTTGGTAAGGAGACGTTTGAGGGGAGGGTTTATATCAGAGTTAAGTGTTCTATGAATGTAGTAGGTGCAGTAATAAGTATGGATGTTTTGTATGGTGAGTAGGTTTAGAGTTTTGAATATTTGTGGAGTGTGCTGCCTGTAGTGGGAATTTATCATTATTCTGACTGCAGCCTTTTGTTGGGTAATTAATAATCTGAGATGGTTTATTGTTGTTGAGCCCCATGCACAAATTCCATAAGTGAGATAGGGGTAAATAAGCAAGTGATATAGGGCCAGGAGGGCTGACTGGAGATTACCTGGAGTTTACCTGGAGAGAGTTCCGGGGGTCAACGCCCCCGCGGCCCGGTCTGTGACCAGGCCTCCTGGTGGATCAGAGCCTGATCAACCAGGCTGTTGCTGCTGGCTGCACACAAACCAACATACGAGCCACAGCCCGGCTGATCAGGAACTGACTTTAGGTGCTTGTCCAGTGACTGTGGAACATAGTACCGTATCTTCGATAGTATGCCTACGGTCTTGGAAATTTTTTTGGAAATTTGTTGTATATGTGTTTAAATTTGAGTCCATTATCAAGATGGATTCCTAAGAATTTTCCCTCCGTGAGTTTTGTGATAAATATATTAAACAACCATGGTGACGTTACACATCCCTTTCTAAGACCTACTTTTACCGGGAAGTAGGCTCCCTCTCTTCTACACACCCTAACCTGAGCCTCACTATCCTCATAAAAATTCTTTACAGCATTTAGTAACTTACCACCTATTCCATATACTTGCAACATCTGCCACATTGCTCCCCTATCCACTCTACCATATGCCTTTTCTAAATCCATAAATGCAATGAAAACTTCCCTACCTTTATCTAAATACTGTTCACATATATGCTTCAAGGCAAACACTTGATCTACACACCCCCTACCCACTCTGAAACAACCTTGCTCATCTGCAATTCTACATTCTGCCTTACCTCTAATTCTTTCAATTATAACCCTACCATACAATTTTCATGGTATACTCAGTAAACTTATTCCTCTATAATTTTTACAATCTCTTTTGTCCCCCTTCCCTTTATATAAAGGGACTATACATGCTCTCTGCCAATCCCTAGGTACCTTCCCCTCTTTCATACATTAAACAAAAATACCAACCACTCCAACACTATCTCCCCTGCTTTTAACATTTCTGTCATAATCCCATCAGTTCCAGCTGCTTTACCCCCTTTCATTCTACATAATGCCTCACGCTCCTCCCCCACACTCACATCCTGTTCTTCTTCACTCCTAAAAGATGGTATACCTCCCTGGCCAGTGCATGAAATTACCGCTTCCCTTTCTTCATCGACATCTAAAAATTCCTCAAAATATTCTCCCCATCTACCAAAACCTCCATCTCCCCCATCTACTAACTCCCCTACTCTGTTTTTAACTGACAAATCCATTCGTTCTCTAGGCTTTCTTAACTTGTTTAACTCACTCCAAAAGTTTTTCTTATTTTCATTAAAATTTCTTGACAATGCCTCTCCCACTCTATCATCTGCTCTCCTTTTGCACTCTCTCACCACTCTCTTTACCTTTCTTTTACTCTTCATATACTCTACTCTTCTTATAGCACTTCTGCTTTGTAAAAACCTCTCATAAGCTAACTTTTTCTCTTTTATCACACCCTTCACTTCATCATTCTACCAATCACTCCTCTTTCCTCCTGCACCCACCCTCCTATAACCACAAACCTCTGCCCCACATTCTAATACTGCATTTTTAAAACTATTCCAACCCTCTTCAAGCCCCCCACTACTCATACTTGCACCAGCCCACCTTTCTGCCAATAGTTGCTTATATCTCACTGTGAATACTTCCTTAAATCTCATGTTGAGCTCTTCGCATACCTCTTGATCGTTTCTGTGTGTGTGTGTGTACTCACCTAGTTGTACTCACCTAGTTGAGGTTGCGGGGGTCGAGTCCAGGCTCCTGGCCCCGCCTCTTCACTGATCGCTACTTGGTCACTCTCCCTGAACCGTGAGCTTTATCATACCTCTGCTTTAAGCTATGTATGGATCCTGTGTGTGTGTGTGTGTGTGTGTGTGTGTGTGTGTGTGTGTGTGTGTGTGTGTGTGTGTGTGTGTGTGTGTGTGTGTGTGTGTGTGTGTGTGTTTGCGCACGTGCATCAATGTTTTAATTACCTGATGTAGACACCTGGTGTTCGCAACTCTCCACTGCAGCCTCCCACTCACCCACCACCTTCAGTGCCTCCTCTACACGTCCACTCGAGTCCTGTTCACCAGTACAACATGTAATAGAGCAGCAAAGAAAATATAGCATTAGTAAATTCATTTTCCTTGTATATACTTCATTCCTACTCTAAGTTACTTAGCTAATAAAATGTTTCAAAACATATTATGTGCCTCTGTAATTTTTTTCAGGTACCACACAGGATGGGTATGGAGTGATTACCACCCACAGAATGATATAAGGTGGCTATTACCCACAAACTCAGTACTGGGTGACAGCCATTCAAAAGATGGGTATGGGGCAACTACCACCCACAGGTATGGGTATGGGGTGACTATCACCTACAAGATGGGTATGGAGTGTCAACCATCATGTGATGTCAGCTCAAAAGAAATGAGGAGAATGAGAGAGCTGGATTCTAACCATGAAGGGCTGTTGCTCTCTCATGCTGGAAGGAAGGAGGTTGACTGGTCGCAGCTCGTGGGTCACCAGCTCCACCAAACTCTCTACTGCTGACTCCAAGATCATCTGAAACATGTAGAATGAATTTGGTTTGAGCTCTTGCTTCAGTGGTGTAGAAATATTGAACATAGTCATCAAAATATGTATAGAATATGAGGTAAACTCTTGACATATCAGACCTCGATATAAAAGACTTTTGAAATAGCAATAGCAAACAAATTGCAATTTTAACTCACTCATATTCAATGTTTATTGGAATACGTATATATTTGTCTCCATGGGGAAGTGGAACAGAATTCTTCCTCTGTAAGCCATGCGTGTCATAAGAGGTAACTAAAATCCTGGGAGCAAGGGGCTAGTAACCCCTTCTGTAAACATTACTGAAGTTAAAAAGATAAACTTTTGTTTTTCTTTTTGGGCCACTCTGCCTCAGTGGGATACGACCAGTTTGCTGAAAGAAGAAGTATGTACTGTATGTATTTGTAGTTTAAGTGTACAGAATAACATTTGGTACAGTATACAGCCTATTAGTCCATTATTTAAAAGCTTTAAAGAATTAAAAAATGGCACAATGCTGTGACTGGAACAATACACAAATAATGTGCATGTAAGTTTGAGTCTCCTGTGTGTGAGTTATCTGCACATAGAAGCTTTACTTGTACATATTTTTTTTATAAACTACATAAAATTAAAGCCTGGGAAAGCCCAAGAGAGCCTGGGAAAACTGTGAGGTAATGAGATTCTCCTATACTGTGATCCCCTAAGTTACAATATTAATCCATTCCAGAAGACATATTGTACCTCAAAACTATCCTACTCAAACACCAAACTCCATAGTTTTATGGTAATTTATTGTAAGATGCCAGAACACACCCAACCTTCTCTTGAATACTTTTGTTGTTTAAACACTCTGGGGTTTTCTAAGTTGTAAACATGCATAGGCTTCAGTTTGAAATCTGCAGAGGCACTGGAACCCAACAGTACAGTAAGCCTATCTTTCATAAGTTTATCCCCAAGCAAAGTAGCAGAATAAAGTGGGAGGGTGGGCAGGCAGGTTGGTAGAGAATTGTAGACCTAATATTTAAACTCTCATTGTCACTGTCTCTTACCATCCGCATCTGATACACGCATGTTGCATATGCAGTACCCATCTGTTTGCCTTTTTTCCTCCCTTCCACTTTTCTTTACTCCCACCCTCTCCCATTCACCTCCAACACACACTCCACCATCACTCCATTTCAGACCTTGACATCACCTTGTCTTGTCTCTGGGCTGAGGCTTATCCATGCCTGCCAACCATCATACACATTGTATCTAAAAATTTTCATCACAACTCAAAACTAAATTCCTTTAAGAGGGTAAATATTAACTCCAAATTATTGTAAATCAAATCCACCATAACTAAAGGAACCACTATAATGCCAATGTGAAGGGGTTTACCTTGGCTCTGGGAGATGAAAAGAAGAAAGTTTACTTAGGAAACAATGGGGGAATATTGATTTACCTGGAGAACCGTGGAAGATGAAGTTGCTCTCCTGAACTCTAGAAAATCATGGACAAAGTAAGAGGCTCATCTAGGAGACTAAGGAGTGAATTAGAGAACCCAAGAAACTCACCTGGACCTTGCCGCTCATACCGTGACGTCGTCCAAGACGCCACAACAGCAGTAGTAGGTCCAACAACCCTGGGGCATGACCAGCCAGTGATGCCAGTTTGCTCTCACTCACTACCTGTGGTACAACATGTGACTGGCTGGACATCATGACATACATGTGACTGGGGTGTAGATATTTGTAACCAGAAGTGTGCAGTGTGCATTATATTGAGAGTATTCCAAAAGTGCCTTTGTTGTAATTATATATTTTGAACTTACAGTATGTTAGGTAAACTGACACATGTGCAACATATAGGATATTATTGAAAGCTATGTTCTGCACACCTGAGAGCTTCATTAAGCCTTAGTTAACAAAACTAAACATATCGAGGACATTAATATAGTAGTGGACAGGAGAAATTCCAGGGCAAGGCTTGAGTGTAAAACTAACAGCACTGAAATTTAATACCACTATAGAAAAAATACGAGATTACAATAATTTGTAATTTAGTAATTGTCATCTGGAATGATTTGGCAGCTTAAACATTTCAAGTGTTATCAAGAATTGTCTCAAGGCCCCACAACATGGCCATCACCCAATAAATGTAATTTACAAATCACTATAATCATTTATTCTCTGTACACCTTTACTGTGCAAGTGAGGTGCAAGGGCCCACCCTGGCACCTCACTTAGGTGTTACTTCCCTTACACCTTCTGCCCCTTGTTACTTAGCAATAAATATGTTTGTATTTAAGAGTTAGCTAACAGCTGTGACTGCAATCCTTGGGGTGGCAAAACTGTGCATGTCAGACACAGCTGAAGTGCAAAAATTGAGTCCAGCCTCACCTTGATAAACTTGTGGAGGTAGGAGAGTGACCTGTAGCGGTCACTGAGGTCACAGTGGAGGTCACCCAGCTCCACCACAGCCTCCTGCAGCCGTTTCTCTCCCTCCTCTTTGCCTTCCTCAATCTTCTCCTCCTCCTCCTCCTCCTCTTCTTCTGCCTCCTCCCTCTCTCCTACACTCAGCACCACTGAAACCAACAACATTTAATCAAAATTTACAGTTTAACATATTCATGATAATTACTATAAATCCATATACAGGAGGGTTCCATTTGTATGGCTCTTAGACTCCCAACCCTGTACGGTAAGTGAAAATTGCCGACAGGTGGAAAAGAGCAGTTTTTTCATTATTGAATATGTTTAAAATGCCTTATAGCATGTTTACACTATCATAATACACTAACTTAATACACCTAGGCATATAAAATCTGATACAGTAAAATAAATACACAGTACATACAATACTTACCTAAAAATACGGTGCCGGTAGCCCTTCCTTTACACAACTGTCGTACAAAAATGGTGGAAAAGCGGTAAAACAATGGCACAAATGAGAGTCACTGAAAGTGTGAAACACTGAAAAGAAAGTGGTGTATGTGCAGGGTCCTCCTCTAGGGCATAAAAATATCGGACCTTTCTCCACTATCTTTTTTACTGTCCATATTCTTTCTTTTGTAATTAACCAATTATAAATCACTTGGTATTTTTATTTGTAATGGTGGTGGCTTTAATATAAGTAGTGTTGCAGAAGGTGGTGCTTCTGAAGGTGGGCAGATGTGGTGGTAGGTACTGGTGGTGCTGATGTAGATAAGGTGGTGCAGGGGGTGGTAGTGCAGGTAGTTCGGTGGTGCTGATGTTGGTTAAGGTGGTGTAGGAGTGTGTGGTTGTGCAGGTAGTGGTGTTGGCAGTGAAGATGATGGTGGTGAAGGAGATGATCGTGAAGGTGGTGGTGATGATGGCAGTGGTGGTGAAGGTGACAGTGAAGGTGATAGTGGTGAAGGTTATGGTGAAAATGATGATGGTGAAGATGATGACGGCAGTGAAGATGATGGTGGTGAAAGCAATGGTGGTGAAGGTGTTGGTGGTGCAGGTGTTGGTCATACTTACATGGGTGGTTGTGCAAGTGAGCCAAGGTGGAGGAGAGCTTCATGAAGTTCATGTTCCAGGTGTTCTGCAGTTCCTCCAGAGTCACTTCATAGTTCACCTGCAGCCAGTAACACTTCTCTTATCTCATGAGCCAATAATCATCAGTTAATTCACAAGGGATGGGTTACATTCCCAGAGGACCCTTCAAATTAGAAACTAACAGAAATACAAAATTAAGTTTTCATAACAAATACTGTTTTAGATTTGGGTTGATAACCTGGGCTTTTTCATAAATCTGCTTATCAGATAACTTATTAGTATAACTAAAAACAAACACACAAACACACACACACACATACACAAACACATACACAGGGAGGCAAAAACGAGTCAAAGTATGTGACAAAGTGTCAGAGTGGGCGCCTGTGACGAGCGAGGTTCCACAGGGGTCAGTCCTAGGACCAGTGGTGTTTTTGGTATATGGGAATGACATGATGGAAGGGATAGACTCAGAAGTGTCTCTGTTTGCAGATGATGTAAAGTTAATGAAGAGAATTAAATTGGATGAGGATCAGGCAGAACTACAAAGAGACCTGGACAGACTGGACACCTGGTCCAGCAACTGGCTCCTCAAATTTAACCCTGCCAAATGCAAAGTCACAAAGATTGGGGAAGGGCAAAGAAGACTGCAGACAGAGTATAGGCTAGGTGGCCAAAGACTGCAAACCTCACTCAAGAAAAAGGATCTTGGGGTGAGTATATTACCGAGAACATCTGAAACGCACATCAACCAGATAACTGCTGCGGCATATGGGTGCTGGCAAACCTAAGAACAGCATTCCAATTCCTCAGCAAAGAATCATTCAAGACAGTACACCATGTATGTCAGGCCTATATTGGAGTATGCAGCACCAGTTTGGAACCCACACCTGGTCAAGCACGTCGAGAAATTAGAGAAAGTGCAAAGGTTTGCAACAAGACTAGTCCCAGAGCTAAGGGGAATGTTCTATGAAGAAAGGTTAAGGGAAATTGGCCTGATGACACCGGATGACAGGAGGGTTAGGGGAGACATGATAATGACATATAAAATACTGCGAGGAATTGACAAGGTGGACAAAGACAGGATGTTCCAGAGATGGGACACGGAAACAAGGAGTCACAATTATAAGTTGAAGACTCAGATGAGTCAAAGGGATGTTAGGAAGTTTTCTTCAGTCATAGAGTTGTCAGGAAACTGAATAGTCTGGAAAGTGACATAGTGGAGGCAGAAACCATGCATAGTTTTAAGATGAGGTTTGATAAAGCTCATGAAGCAGGAAGAGTGACCTAGTAGTGATCAGTGAAGAGGCAGGGCCAGGACCTATGAATTAACCCCTGCAACCACAAATAGGTGACTGCGCACACACACACACACACACACACACACACACACACACACGCACGCGCACACACACACACACACACACACACACACACACACACACACACACACACCACACACACACACACGCACGCACACGCACGCACGCACACGCATGCACGCACACGCACGCACACGCATGCACACGCACGCACACACACGCACACGCGCACGCACGTGCACACACACACACGCACGTGCACGCACGCACACGCACGTGCACGCACGCACACGCACGCACACACACGCACACACACACACACACAGCTGTGAAGTGATCCCTGCAACCACATATAGTTAGTACAAACACTTTTTTTTTTTCAACGCGCTGGCTGTCTCCCACCACTATCATTGTCTTGCCAGAGGCACACAAATACAACAGTATAGATATCACTAAACAGAAACTATCTCAAACCGCTCCTTTTGAGTGCAGGCACTACTTCCCACCACCAGAAATCAAAAATATAAAAAAATATGCAGCACATTAGAGATAACAGCAGCAGTCAAGAGGATAATTTTTTCATCCCATTTACATTTTACAGGCTACTAAAGCAGAGCAAAAATGATATTTTTTGCATCCAGTTCATGAAACAAAGACAAACATATATACATGGTACCTGCGAGTACTTCTCAAGGTGCCTGTTAACATTCTTCACCAGAAGTGCGTTTGGGTCTTTCATCTTCTCCTCATCCTCTTCCTCATCTCCACCACCACTCTTCTTCTCTGCTCCCTCCTTCCACTGGTCAGCCATCTCCCCCTCTGACTCTCTCAGGGCTGCCACCATCTGCTTCTGGGTCCCATCTTCCTCATCCGAGTCATAATCAAGGGGCGGGTCCAGGGTCTGCAGCCTGCTCAGGCTGCAAGACCAAAAGTAAAGTCAGTCGGGTTTAATACTTCTTCCATTCATGCTGTAAAAGAAAGAAGACATATAGAAAGAAAGAAAGAAAGAAAGAAAGAAACAGAGAAGAGAGAGAGAGAGAGAGAGAGAGAGAGAGAGAGAGAGAGAGAGACAAAGAGCAAGCACACATTGCCCTAAAAAAAAAAAAAAGTGCACTTACGATTCACAACTAAGCCACAAATTGAGGACAAACACTGGCCAACTTTACAGTTCTTTTTAAGCATTATTAAGTCATGACTTGATAACAGTACAGGAAGGAATGAAGTGTTGTCCATGTACAAGTAAAAAAAAAAAAAGATTAATATATGAACTATCTGATGGGGAGATAAGTTGTTAAGGAATGTTTGGTTCCTAATACAGTACCACAGTATTAGGGTTGTGGTGAGAGAAAGCAAAAATGTTATGTCATTCTGCTGGGTCAAGTTAACATACACAGGAATGAGTGAAGCTGATAAGCAGCTTTTGTTGCTAAGCTGGTGATTTGTGTAAACTAATACTTATATGTGCATTTTTATTTATAATATTTTCAGAAGTATAAGGCTCTTAGAACACTGCAAGTGTATTAAGGGAGACAAGTTACCTGTAGAAATGTGAGGTAGATAACTCAATATGCTTGTAAGGAAAATGACGTACCTGCAGAAGTTGTGGGAGAGGGAGGCAAGGTAGGCAGTCCTGTCTGCCTTACCCAGACGCTCACAGATAGGCAGATACACCTGCACCACAACATTAATATTAGACAACAATTACGCGCCAATATTTTCATTATGTATACAACACTAAATACTCTAACAATTAGGCAAGTGCAACTAGGTTGTGCCTTCATGCACTCAGTAGACAGAGGATTGAGTCTATACCAAAGCTGTCTTGAATGACCCACATGAGTTTACTACATCAAATGAATAATAATATTAAGAGTCATCACATGGAAATGAAGTGGGGAACAATAAAATAGTAACTAGTTAAAACTATAGATATCTGCCACCTTAGGATTTCTAATAACAACTATTGCAAAGCCTGACAAGTATTTGACACAGGTAGTTTCCTCCACCCACCTGGTGGAAGATGGAATGGAGGGCGAGTTGAGTGTGAGGATGAAGGTATGTGAAGTGGAGGTACTGTGGGAGGAGGTCATCTGCATGAGTGGTACTCTCCACCTCTGGAACTGTGCCACTCACTACCTTCTTAAGGAGCACCCCTGCCACCCCCATTATCTTGGGAGCTGAGCCTTCCACCACCTGCAGCACTGGACCACCACCGTCCACCTCTGTAAATGACTACATAACACCCCACCCAACCACAAACTGTATATTAGTGCAAGGGTGCCATGGAGATAGCCACCAGAATCTTCACCTTCACCAGGTCAAACTCAATACTTGTGTGTGACACATGGATAATGGAATTAATGTTGATAATGCCCAAATAATGGAAATGGGAGAGTGAATTCAGATCACATAAAGAAAAGAAACTGTGACAAAATTTTCTGAATATCATACAAAGAAAGGGATTTCAGAGTTATTATTAAAAAAATCATCATTAGATCATATATATGAAACTGTAAGACTTGCATATGCTACATTGACTTACTACTGCATAGGAATACCACTCAACTATGTGGATACAGAAATGCTGAAAAATCCATTTACAATATATACATACTATATTAAGCCAAAATTAAAATATGTGGCTGTTCACACCTGAGGAAATGTGGATCAGACAAAGTCTAAAGAAGAGCTACAATATGGATCTCAGAGCTAAAAAAAAAATAAAATACGAGATTTCAAGAGAGCTTGAGAACCCTAAAGATGGCCATGTTGACTGATAAGAGGAAAAACACACACATAACAGCAACTTAAAGGTTATAAAAGGGTATAAAGAACAGCTAAAAACCTTGTTTGTATCTTTGACAGATAACAAGTGAGCACAGATGGAAATTAAAAGAAAAATGAAGCCCAAGGAATTCTGGAGAAGTTTTCTTTACAAATAGGAAGACTATTTGGATTATTAACACACAGATTTAGTAATGCAAAGTAAGTCAACATAGCCACTAAGTCTGACATATTTACTCTGGGGTCCTTTGAGCCTTTACACCAGGATGCAACCCACAACAGTCAACTAACACCTAGGTTCCTACTTAAAGTTAAGTGAACAGAGACAATAAGCAGTGACATAACCATGGGAGTAGGGAGGCAAATAATTATTTATTGTTTCTGATTAATGGCTAATTATCACTATTATATTGGCCAGTGACCACACAAACATGATGGTTTAAGAAATTTCACATACATACTGAACATTATAGTACGTGTATATGTTTTAAAAACGATTTCTATGGGTTTTTCAGCATATCATTTTTAAACCCCTAGATTGAAATCTTGGCTTAGCCTTCCCCAAGAATGAAATCTTGGCAGTGCTACTAACAACAGGTGTAAGGAAACCCGCCCAACATTTCCACTTGTGCTAGCATCGAACCCAGTTCCTTCAAATGTGAGCTGAAAACACTACCATTTGAGCTTTGATCCATCCCAGAGTGGCAGAAGAACAGATTAAATTGAAAGTAAATCCAATTTTTTTTATGATGAATAAATTAATGAAAATGGAACATCACGAACATAGCTTAACTCCCATATCTACAAATAGGGAACTGAAAATTGGTTATTATATGATATATATCTCCCACACACACAGGTCTAATAGTGAACATAGGTGGACAGGACAACCAAAGAAATTATCGAACACACATCTACGTATAGTAAGGAAGACAGGTCGGCCATCATTAATCCAGCAATCAGTTATCCGGTTCCATCAGTAATCCGGCACTAATTTCGGATATCATAATTTCAAATTTCATCATTATACTGACTCAGAAATTGTGCAGATGGTTGTAAATCCACAACAGCAAGCCAGTGGGGAAGAAAGTAGTGATGAAACGAGGAAGATGTAGCAGAAAGATTCTCTATTGATAGGTTAATTAAGTGTATTCTAACTTAACCAAACAATACCATGGGCGGGGATAGAACCCATGATCAGAGAGTCTCAAAACTCCAGACCGTCGTGTTAGCCAGTGGCTAATGCGACGGTCTGGAGTTTTGAGACTCTCTGATCGCGGATTCTATCCCCACCCGTGGTATGGTTTGTTTGCAATCGTGTCATTACGATTTCATGAGTCATGTTAACCTAACCATTCTGTAATCCAGCAAACTCACTAATCATGCACACTACAGGTCCCAATGATGCTGGATGAGTGATGGCTGACCTGTATATAACATGACCAAGGCAAAACTCCTGGTCAAAGATAATTTCAGTCAATGAGACTGACTAGTAAAATTTAGAGCCTCAGAGATGGATAGAAAGATTGAAATCAAAATTCATGGGCACAACAGCAAATCAAAGAAACCAACAAGAATACGGAAGAACTGGTTGATGAACCAGCAACAATGAACTTTGTTTGCTCTAATTTAATTAAACAATATTTAAAAAATCCAACAATAATGAAGGAGAAACAAACAGAAACTAAACAAAAAGAAAGAAAGAAGCTTTTTCACACTGAGCACAGTGTACAGTACGTATATGAGTTTAAATGGGAATGAGGACACCATGCCAAGTGATTAGTAGTTAAGAAGCATGTCCCAAGAGCTGGAGCTCAAATCCCTCACAATGCACAAATACACACTCTCACCTGCAAAACAAAGCCATGGTCAGCAGTGTCACTGTCAGCATCATCAGCAATGGTGTCGTCAAACTTCCAGGAAAATGTAGCTGAGAGAAAAAGTTTTTGGTTATATATGGAGATCCAGATCTCTTGTGAATTTGGTGATAATTAGGTTGGTTTTATTACTGATATTATTTTATGATGTGTAAATGTACAAAACCTAACTTAATGAAATTCAACCTAGCCCAGCCTAAAATAACCTAACATAACTTAACCTAACTCTGCTAATAATGGATATAGGACTAGTGCACTTTCGTTGACATAGGTTAGTTGGCCCTAATATCTGCATGTCCAAAAATAAATACATATACAGTATTATTTTTGCTAACAGTAGCTCCTACAACAAAAATTGGCACAATAAATAACAATTTGTGCTAGGGTATATATAGCATGCTTGTATTTTACAGTTATTATTATAATCATAACTAAGCACTAAATCCACAAGTCGTACAGCGATGGTGTATTTTACAAAAGAAAATAATACGTGATTTCTCAAAAGGTCTGGCTCACTATATTAGTCAAATTTATTAAAAGGCCACCAATGATACCTATTATCACTATTTTAATATTACTGCTGAAAACATCATTATATGCTACATTACAGATGGATGATGATGTGGCAATATTTAATGAAGGTATACATGGTATTTTAGGCCTAACATGAGAGGTATAAGAGGTAGGAAGGCCTACCAGGTATAGTAAGTAGGCCTACCAAGAGGTGTAGGAAGTAGATTAGCCTACCAGGCAGTTAGTAGGCCTACTAGGAAGTAGGTATGTCTACCAGGAGACATGTATGCCTACCAGGAGATAGGCTTGCCTACCAGGAAGTAGGCAGACCTACCAGGAAGTAGGCAGGCCTACCAGGAGATAGGCATGCCTACCAGGAGATCGGCATCCCTACCAGGAAGTAGGCAGGCCTACCAGGAGATAGGCAGACCTACCAGTAGGTATCAAAATCAAAATCAAAACTTTATTTCTTTGCTAAGATTACAATTTGAGTTCACATTTCATAATATGATTGGTACAAAGAAAGCTATTATCATGCCAGGAGGTAGGCAGACCTAACAGGTATAGCAGGTAGGGAGGCTTACCAGGTATAGGACAGTAGGTAGGCCTACCAGCTATAGGATGGTAGGTAGGCCTGAGGTCTGTGGTTCGATTCCCGGCATGGTTGGAAGCATCAGAATGTGCTAGGTACCTGAGAGTTAGTCGACTGGTGTGGGCCGCATCCTGGGGATGAAATTGACCTAATTTGCCCAAAATGTTCTGCATAACAAGGAGCTTTTTATTAAAGATTTTATTTCTTTGCAAAGGTTACAATGTGTGATTACAATTTTGATTTGTTAAGTACAAAGAAAGCCACTATCATACCAGGGCATTTTGGGCAAAGTAATACTAGTACATAATAACTACTTAAATCTAGACAAGATAAGAGTGGTTAACGTTTTAATAAATCTTCATTTTATCTTAATACTAATGCAAGGTATTCAGGATGGAGGTTGATAAGAATAGCCTTAAGTTGAACATAAAAACAATATTACAATTAATGGTTCAAACAGTAATATTATATGGACTGACAGATGTTTTAAATAAGGGACTACAGTTACCTCTTTCCACAGAGAGGGCCAGTTACACTGTACTAGGCAGTGCTGGAAGATGCGAGTTAGAGGTGCTGCTAGCTGGTCTGCACATCTCAGCAATCTTGGGCTCAACTTGTCTGGGCCCACAGCCTTTTCTTGGTCAAGCGATTTAAGAAGGAAATGCACCTCCTCCTGCCTTATTGTCACCACTGACAGTTTTGACACAGTTCTTGCAACTAGCCAAGGAGGGTCCCTTGCTGGATCAGGAACTTGCATTTTGGTAGCAAAGTATTCGGCAAAGAGGTCCGCCTTCTCTTGATTACTAGTAGAGGTGGTCCCATCCTTTCAATTTAAAGGTGGAATGAGTTCATCAGGCAGATGTCCTTGTCTGTCCTTGACCAGGGACCACCAGATTTTGGAGCCTACCGTACCTGATGCTAGCTTTCTTTTTGTGTCCACCTCCCATTTAGCAATGGCCCACTTTTGAACGTCACCCATATGCCTACAGGCTTGCCTGTGCAAGTTTCTGTTATAGGTGGTAGGATGTCTCTTATACCTTCACCATGCTTTGTACTTAGCAGTAGCAGCCTCTCTACAACGAAAACCAAACCAAGGCTGATCTGTAGGCTTCGTCACATATTGCCGGTGAGGAATGTGTTCTTGTTGTAGATTAAGTGTGTGTCCAGTGAAGGCTTTCACTTGGTTGTCAACATCCCCTTGGAGAAGAGCATTCCAATCGGTGGTGGCGAGCTCAGAGCAAAGGGCCAATTACCTCTTTCCCATAGCCAGGTTGTGCATGTGGACTCCTCACCTCGTTCTGTTGGAATCTTAAGTGTTGTAAAAACAGCCTTGTGGTCAGATGATCCAACGTACCCGAGGGGTTGACAAGCGACTATACCTTCTGCCAGATCTCTCACTACTGGGTCAAGGGAGGAGCCAGAGATGTGTGTAGGGAAATCAACAAAGTTTCTCATGTCAAATACTGCAAGAAGGTCATCAAAGTCCCTCTGTATGAGGTGCTAGTTGAGGTCACCAACAATTATGATATGTTGACAGTTGTGTTGCAGCAGGAGGGAGTCAATATTTTCCATTAGGAAGTTGATGGGGTCTGCATGTTGCCACTGAGGTCTGTACATTGCACATGCTAGTACAGAGGTACTAGTGTTTATACAGAGCTTGAAGAACATCATTTCAAGATGAGTAGAGGTGGCAACATCAATGTGCTGGACATGAACACTTTTAGAGAAGCACACAGCAACACCTCCTCCTTGCCCTTGCCTGTCTCTTCTCATCCATGAGGTGTAGCCAGCAATTCTTGCAAAATTTTCTGGAGTCCTGTCGTCCAAAAATGTTTCAACAACAGCTATCATGTCGGGACGTCGAGTGTTCACAAAACTATGTGTGAGTTCTCCAACATTAGTAATGAAACCTCTAATGTTGGCCGACAGGATGCTGATAGACTGGCTCCTCATGATGTGGTCAGCTTGAGGTGGTGGGTGTCTCTCTCTCCCTACCTTCCTCCTTCCTTCCCTAGATATTCGTTAAGTTTTCACCTGTCATGTGTGGTAGGTGTGTGTGGTCAGCACCAGGGCAGGGAGGCAAGCCAACTTAAGGTGATTACACAGTGTTGTATGACCTTTGTAGGTTTAGCGATTAGTTGTGATTATAATATTAAGAAGGCTAGTCGACACAAGTTGCTGTTATGAGTGTCACAGTTAGTACAGTATTTTCCTCGTAGGGAGGGTGGAACTTCTCTTTGTATTTATTGTAGGCATGGCACCATACCAAAATTTTTGCCCATACCGATACCCAATTTTTCGGCCTGTACCAATACCAACAGGCCGTATAATTCACTCTGAGGAGGATAGCAATGAACTCCAGGAGGATTTGGACAAATTAATGTCTTGGTCTGAAAAATGGCAGACGAAGTTCAATGTCGATAAGTGTAAGGTACTAGCCCTTGGTAATGAAAATAACCCTCGAAGCTATAATCTAGGTGAAGTAGAGCTTGATCATACAGAATGTGAAAAGGACTTGGGAGTTATGGTGAGCAGAAATCTAAAGCCATGACAGCAGTGCCTTAGTGTTCGCAACAAGGCCAACAGATTACTTGGATTTATCTCAAGAAGTATAAGTAACAGAAGTTCAAAAGTTATTTTACAGCTGTATACATCACTAGTGAGGCCTCATTTAGATTATGCTGCTCAGTTTTGGTCCCCTTGCTACAGGATGGATATAGACTCATTAGAGAACATCAGAGAAGAATGACTAAAATGATTTACAGTGGACCCCTGCTTTATGATCAGCTCCCAATGCGACCAATTATGTAAGTGTATTTATGTAAGTGCGTTTGTACGTGTATGTTTGGGGGTCTGAAATGGACTAATCTAATTCACAATATTCCTTATGGGAACAAATTCGTTCAGTAATGGCACCTGAACATACTTCTGGAATGAAATAACATCGTAAGCCGGGGGTCCACTGTACTGTGTAAGGAACCTCCAGTATGAAGATAGACTTAAAGCCTTAAATCTCCACTCTCTGGAGAGGCGCAGAATGAGGGGAGATATCATTGAAGTGTATAAGTGGATGATGGGCATAAACAAGGGAGATATTAATAAAGTACTGAGGGTGTCGAACCAGGTAAGAACCAGAAATAATGGATTTAAGTTGGATAAATTTAGATTCAGAAAGGACATAGGTAAGTACTGGTTTTCTAACAGAGTTGTGGATGCATGGAACAGTCTTCCCAGTAGGGTGATAGAGGCTAGAACCTTGGGTAGCTTTAAGAAGAGATTGGACAAATATATGAGTGGGAGGGGCTGGGTTTGATTGGTGTCATTGGGTACGGGAGTTATTTCTTGGGTAGCTTTAGGTAGAGGTTGTTTTAATAAGGACCTGCCTCGCATGGGCCAGTAGGCCTTCTGCAGTGTTCCTCCATTCTTATGTTCTTATGTTTTAATAGACTAGAGGTCACATAATATTTGGGAGAGTTTACCTGGAGTTTACCTGGAGAGTTCCGGGGGTCAACGCCCCCGCGGCCCGGTCTGTGACCAGGCCTCCTAGTGGATCAGAGCCTGATCAACCAGGCTGTTGCTGCTGGCTGCACGCAAACCAACGTACGAGCCACAGCCCGGCTGATCAGGAACTGACTTTAGGTGCTTGTCCAGTGCCAGTTGCTTCTATATAGTATGTAGTATGTCACTGATGTCAGCTAGGCCTATATACCTTGTATATGTACTTGAAGAAATGGAAATGAAAATGTATATTTCCTAACAAAGCTTACAATGTGTGGTTTACATATTATAAAAAACTAATTACAATCTTTTGTAATCTTTTGACTACTGCCCACAGGATGGGTCTAGCGTGCATAATAAACATATTAAACTAACTAGCATGCCTAGGTAGTTGGGCCTGCCAAAAGGTACAGGACATTATAATTAGCTTATTATCTTTATTATGCACAT